AGCTGCTGTTGTAGCACCTCCACCTGCTTCTTCCAGGAAACATCCTCACCCTGCTGTTCCGACGACTCCTTTCTGTGCCCTTGCTGCCCGTTCTCTTTCGGCCAATCCTGTTGCAGCAAACCCCCCTCCCGTAAACCCTGTTGGTGCAAACTTTCCCCCCTTACTATTTCATGCTTCGTTCCTGGTTCCTTCCACAATCCCTCCTCACCTCCCTCGTTCATATCCATGTATTGTTGCCCTCCTTTCTCTCCCCCACCCCCGCCACACCAATCTCTTACTCCCCCATTCCCCCTTTCAAAATGCTGGTCCCTGCCCCATAACCGCCCCTCCAACTGCCCATTCACACCTCCCCCTCTTCCCCCATCCGTCCTCCCCTCCTCCCTTCGCCCTCTCTCCGCCTCCCCCCTTTCCTCCCTCCCCTTCTCATAACTCCACCTTGAAGCCTCATTCTGAGGCCTTTCATAACCCGACCTCACACTCTTCCCCAGATCAATACCCCTGCTTGCTACTCTATCCCCCGACTCCCAATGCTGGCCGCCTATCCCACCAGCAAGCACCCCTCTGCTGCTCGCTGCACCTGCACTGCATGCCTGAAGGCCAGCGGCCCTCTCATACTCATTAGTAGCACGCTCATTATTACTGCGGGTTGGCTGATGAAACACATTGAAGTTCTCACTGCCTCTGAAGCCTTGCCTCGCATCGTTCGCCTGGAGTTGCACACCCGTGCCATTCTCTCTAATGTAACCCATGCTTAGATGGCTCGCCGACCTTTGAGACGTCTCAACAGTCACCCCCGTGCCATTCTTTCCGATGTAACCCATGCTTAGATGGTTTGCTGCAGCAGGTGCACCAACAGCATCAGAACTGGCGGCAGTGGCAGCAGCAGCGGGTGTAGTGGTTGTTTTAGCCGCGTCAGTGCCACACAAGAGCTTCAGAGGAGTGGGACGAACAGCAGGTTCTGGGGGGAATGCAGAGAAGTGGAGGCCTGCTGCGGCTGAAGCGTTAGAGGCAGCTACATCATAAGAAGCACCACCACCAGCAGCAACCCCGTTAGAAGCTGCATCTTTATAAGCAGCAGCGTCGTTGATGCTGCCACTGCCATCAGCAGCAGCCCCGGCAGCAGCCGCAGAGGCACGAGCTGAGGCAGTGATTCTCACACCAAACAGAGCAGCGGGCGCAGCAGCAGCGACAGCAGAAGCAGCGGCAGCAGCAGAAGCAGCAGAAGCAGGTTCAATGCTTGGAGGGCAGAAGTGAGATGGTAGTGGCGGTAGAAGTGGATGGGACTTGATCTCTGCAGCATCTTCTGCTCCTCCTGCTGCTGAAGTATGATTCGGTTGGAGAGTGTTTGGAGAGGGGGAAGCAGGAGGAGGAGGGATGAAGGAACGGTTGGGAGGGCTTTGATGGGCTGGCTGGAAGAATCGGTGAGTTGCTGCTGCTGGTGCTGCTCCTTCTGCCACTGCTTCTGCTGCCGCCGGTGCAGACGTTGTTGGTGGTACAGTTGCTGTTGCAGTGCTGCTGTGGGAAGGCAACAAAGAAATGGATTAGAGGTGGAGAAAGTAGAGAAGGGGAAGTGTGGCATAACATATGTAGATTTACATGCGAAATACTTTCTAGTATATGCACAATACAGGAATGAGTATTACATGCATAACGAGGCATCCTTATAGATTGTCTCACCTCCTCGGCTCAACCATCAGGAGAATTCGCTCCAACAGCCCCCTTAAAGCCCGCATCTCTTCGCTGACGTCAGCAGCATGGGCCCTGACGTCAGCAGCATGCGCCAGCCAATCCCTGCGCAGAAGCTGAAAATCGGCCTGGACCGCCTTTCCTTGCTCCCGAACCTCCGCTATCTCCCGAAGCAGAGCTGCCGAATTCTCCCCCGAACCTAACCCCGAGCCTCGTGTTCGACCCTCCTCACCCCAGCCATATCCTTCCTCTGTCTCTCTCCCTCCTACCCTCTCCCCTCCTCCTCCTCCTCCTCCTCCTCCTCCTCCTCCTCCTCCTCCTCCTCCTCCTCCTCCTCCTCCTCCTCCTCCTGCCCCCCCTCCTCGCTCTCCTCTTCTCTGTTAATTCCATGCCTCCACCCCACTCCCCACTCTTCACCCCTTCCTCCTCATCTCCCTTCCCCGCCTGCCCAATCAGCCCATTACTCAATCCGGAATCAAATCCAATCCCAGATTGCCCTCTTATCGGCATCTCCCTCTCTCCACGCACACTCCCTCCCCCTCCTCCGCTCTCTCCTCCTCTCATCCCCCCTCGTTCCCCTCCAAATCCCCTCTCCCTATACCCGAAACTGTCAGGGACAGAAGGGGCAGAAGATGCAGCAGGGGAAGAAGGAGGAGCAGCAGCAGAGGTCAAAGCAGCAGCGGCTGTCAAGACCTCCCCACCCTCCACACCCACATTCAATCCATTAACCACTCTCCCTGCCCCCCTACTCCCCTTACCCGCCTGTCTCCCACCAACACTCCCAGCAGGAGAGGCAGCATTCACAGCAGCTGCTGCTGCTGCCGCTGCCGCCGCTGCCGCTGCAGCAGAATCAGAACCAGCAGCAGCACCGGCAGTGCCAGCACCAGCAGAAGCGGTCGCAGCAGCAGCATTGGCAGCAGCAGCAGCGGCGGCGGCGGCAGCAGCACTGGCGGCAGCATTGGCAGCCGCAGTATCGGCGGCACAGGAAGGGAAGAGGGGCGAGGGGAGGGGGAGGGCGTGCGCGGTGGTGCTGGAGAGAAAGAAGGGGGAGGAGGCGAACGAGGTGTTCCCCATCGTTGATCGTTGCTTGCTGCCATGTGGGGGAGGGAAAAGGGGGGGGGGGATACAAGGGGGGTTGGGAGGGTGGAAAGGCGGAGACAGCGAGGGAAGGAAAGCAGGGAGACCGGAGAGGAGAGAGAGAGGTGTAAGCTACAAGCGTTGATTGTTTGGCGCTGATTGTTGCTAGCCGGCACGAGGGGGCAGGTTGACGAGAGAAAATGGCGGGGAAGGAGAGGGGAGGAGAAAACGAGGAGAGAAGGAAATACGCAATTGGCTCAATGTTGTCAGAAGAAATGGGGGAGGGAAGAGGGGAGGGGCGGGGAAAGAGAGAGATAAGCAATTGGCTAAGGTCTGCCAGCAGAAATGGGGGAGGGAGGTGGGGAGGGGCGGGTGCGGGGAGTAGGGGTTCGAATTTGCAGGTTTAGAAAAGCAACGTGCACCACACCACAACTCACCACACCACATCCCACCACACCCCACTCCACCCCACTCCACCCCACCCCACCCCACCCCACCCCATCCCCACCCACCCCACCTACACCACCACTCCCCACCCCACCACACCACACCACACCCCACCCCAACCCACCCCACCCCACCCCACCACACCGCACCACACCACACCACCATGTCATGTTGCAGCAGCGTACCTCTTCTCAGCCTCCTCAGCAGCAGAGTAAGAGACACAGTACTTGGCCACCGTCCTCAGGAGATCAAACGGGCCAGGAAAAATCACCTCCGCTCCCCCTCCTCCAGCTCCGCCCCCTCCTCCGCCCTCTTTTTCCGACTCCCCGTCCCCCTGCACACTCGCATCCCCCTTCTCAGCAAACCCTCCCTTGGAGCTCTCAGCAGCAGCAGCAGCAGCAGCCGCCGCAGAATCCGTAGCAGCAGAACCGTCCGCACCACTGGCACCGCTGGCAGCAGCAGCAGCAGAGGGAGTGGGCACAGCGTCCCCGTCAGTCTGTGGCTTGAGTAGCTGCCAGTAGGAGGACACGCGCAGCGCCGCCTCTAGCTTGGCAAAGAAGGGCGTCTGGCGCGGGGTGAGGGGTCAAGAGGGCGAGGGGTGAGGGGCGAGGGGGCGAGGGGATAGGATGGTATAAAGATTTGGGTATAAGTTGAACAAGGATCGGTCTTGCGGCTTGAGCAGCTGCCAGTAAGAGGAGACGCGCAGAGCCGCCTCTAGCTTGGCAAAGAAGGGCGTCTGGTGCGGGTGAGGGTGGCAGTAAGGCACGGATGCACGTGATATTGGATGAGAGTGGGTGAGAGTGGGCGAGAGTGGGTGAGAGTGGGTGAGAGTGGGTGAGAGTGGGTGAGAGCGGGCGATATTCACCTTTCCGAGGTTCTCTTTAAGCGCCATGGTGTTGTACACGATGGGCACGAGAATAGCATTACGAGTGGTAGAACGAGGTTGCGAGTAGGTTGAGAGTGGTGAGATTAACCTTTCTGAGGTTCTCTTTAAGCGCCATGGCGTTGTACACGATGGGCACAAGAATGAGGCGCAGGTGACCCTGAGGGGTGTTCTCCTCGCCCAGCATCTTGCGCACCAACACCTTCACCTGCCATACGGGCACACGCACGCACAAGCAGGGGGAGCAGAGGCAGGGGGAGCACAAAATACCAATAAGATGGGTGGCCCTGCGGGGTGTTCTCCTCGCCTCGCCCAGCATCTTGCGCACCAACACCTTCACCTGCACGCGTGCACAAGAGCACACAGGCAGGGGGAGCAGAGGAGAGAAGCCAGGAGAGCAGTGAGGAGCCCTTCGAGTCGATCAAAAGGCACCTTGCACACCAATGCCTTCACCTGCCCGCCGTGGATGGGTAAAGGGCGCACAGGAGAATGACAGCACAACAGCAATGGTGAGGGGAACACAAAAGAGCGTTGAGTCAACAGGCGCGCAGGTGGCCCTGCGGGGTGTTCTCCTCGCCTCGCCCAGCATCTTGCGCACCAACACCTTCACCTGCCCGCCACACGTGTGAGGGGAACGCGGGAAGGCGTTGAGTCGACATGAAGCCCTGCAGCAGCAGCCCATGCACCCAAATCCCCCACCCTCCCACTGCTCTCCACCCCCCTCTACTCCCTCTCACTCCTCACCTTGTGCGGGCTCTCGAACGCCCAGCGCCAGTACAGAAAGCCCTGCAGCATTCTCCCGCCCCTGAACCTCCCTGCCCTTCCCCACCCGCCCTGCCTGCCACCACTGTGACTGTCTCACCTCGTGCGGGCTCTCAAACGCCCAGCGCCAGTACAGGAAGCCCTGCAGCAGCGCAGGCGGGGAGGGCAGCGCGGAGGCGGCGGCGGCGGACGCGGCGAGGTCGGGCGAAATGGTAACCAGACGGTGCTTTAGCGACGAGAGCTTGCGACTGTAGTTGGCCTCAAACATTTTCTGGAAAGGAGGGGAGATCGGCGAGGGGGGGGGGAATGGGCGAGGAGGAGAGAGGGGAGAGGGGAGGACGGAGGGGAGGGGAGGAGAGGAGAGAGGGGGGAGGGGAGGGGAGGGGAGGAGAGGAGAGAGGGGGGAGGGGAGGGGAGGAGAGAGGCGAGGAAAACAGGGGAGAGGAGGGGAGATGCGACGGAGGAGGAAGGGGTGGGAGAGTGGGGAGTGGAAAAAGGGGGGATTTGAGCGAGGCAGCGGTGGGGCAGAGGCGGCGAGGTCTGGCGAGATGGTAACCAGCCGGTGCTACAGCGAGGAGAGCTTGCGTCCTGTAGTTGGCCTCAACATTTTCTGATGGGGTAGAGGAGAGAAAGGATGAGAGAAGGGAGGAGACGAGGAAGGGGAGAAGAGTGGAGAGGAGTGAGCGCGGCATCACATCAACAACGGAGGTGGCGAAGGCAGGGCAGATGGTGACGAGACGGCGCGTGAGCGAGAAGAGCTTCGACTGTAGCTGGACGAGGAGAGGGGCGAGGAGAGGGGCGAGGAGAGGGGCGAGGAGAGGGGCGAGGAGAGGGTCGAAGAGAGGGGCGAGGAGAGGGGCGAGGAGAGGGGCGAAGAGCGCGGAGGGGGAGAGGAGCAGCGTGACTCACGCGCATGTGGATGAGCGGCATCAGCACGTCCCCCGTCTCCTGGTCTTCCAGCAGCAGGTATCGCTCCGTGGGGCTCACAGTGAGCCACAGCGCGCGCACGTGGAGTCCCCCCGCCGCCTGCTGCTGCTGTCGCGGCTGCTGCTGCTGCGCCGCCATCCCCGCGGCTTGACGTTGTTGCGCCGCCGCCTGCCGTTGCGCCGCCTGTTGTTGCGCCGCTTGCTGTTGCGACGCCGCTCGTTGTTGCGCCGCAACCGCCGGCGGCGGCGCCAACGCTACCAGCGCCGCCGCCGCTGCGGACGCTGCTGTCGGCGGAGTCGGCGGACGACCCTGCAGCGCCGATGGCGCCGTCTTTGGCGGCGGAAGCTGCGGAGGGGATGGCCCAGAAGATTCGAGCTTCCTCCGCGACCCACCGGAACTTCCGCCGCTTATGCTTCCCCCTCCGCCTGCGCTTCCCTCCAGCGCATCTTCCGCGCGCCTCTTTGTCCCCGCCGCCGCAGCCGCAGCCGACGCCGCCGCTTCAGCTGTGCCGAAAGGTGGAAGCTTCGCGAAGCCGGTCGGGAAACTCATGGCGAATCTTTAAGATAATTTCCAAGATGGAACTTTTGGAGACGTAGTATTATTTTTTCTTTGATTTTATCGTCGGCGTCGCGAAAGCTGGAAAAAGGGGATCTAAGACCGCGGCGCCTGCCTTTCGCCGCGGCGCCTGCCTTTCGCCGCGGCGCCTCAGAGTTCAGGCAGTACCTGACTGAAAAGGTCGGTCACCCAACGATTCTGTGAAGGCCTCCCACCCTTGGAACTGCCAAGTTCGACACTCAAAAGGTCGGTTGGAACTTCGAGCTGCGTAGAGATCTGTCGATGACTTAAAGTTAGAAAAGACCAATTGATAATCAGTGGGATTAAACTGATCACAGGTAGGGCTACTCAAAGCCAACGAGCGGCTCGCCCGCTCGACGAATCGCGCGCTGACCTTGTCGTCTCCTTCGCTCTACCGCTACTATTCTCAGGCATGATCATCCTGGACGACGCTGGAGTACTTAGGGGGGGTCTAACGCCTCACGCCGGCAAATGATTGCGTGACCGTACTCAGGAGTTACACGCCGTGCCGCGTCAAGCTTCCAGTTGTCACAAATTCCTGTTGTGTTTCTAACTTTCACAAATTCGCTGGCAGCGAGAGTGCTCTCAGGAGCCCTACAGGCTGCGACTCGTATTCTTTCGCGGGAGACGAATATTGTAAGAGTTAGAGCGTGGGTAGCACCAGCCAGCCTGCGCTTACTAACGATAATCCGCCAGCTAGTAGCTAGATTCGCCAGCTCAACTCCCTAGAGCTACTGGAAGACATAGTTTTGGCGAAAATGTGTGTGATGTGAAACTCTCTGAAAGACAAGTCAACTCGGGAGCAGAACAGAACTGAACACCGCCAGAATGAGTTTTTGGCTGGGCGAGGTCCAGGCGAAGCAGAGGGGGATGCTTCACTTGTTAGCTGCACTAGCCGGATTCTTCACTTGTATGACAGTTCTAGGTATTGCCATCATGCCATCAGACGCTCCTGATTGAGCAGTAGAAGATACCGCCAATGGAGGAACAATCAGCGACGTTACCCGAGAAGATACACCGCTGGCCATGGGGGGTGGAGCAGAGAAGATGAGGTGAGGTGATGAATGAGGACCCACGCGTCTTTCGTCGCACACAACTTCAAAGAGTACACATGATGCCCAACCAGTGCACGCGAATTTGCCCTGTACCGGATGGAAACGCTGCACCCGAGGTCTTTTTCCCAGCCTTTCGCACCCCCGATACAAGCGCGTCGCATGGTTATAGACCAATAGTAACGAACAGACTGAAGTCAAACTGAAGATACTGAAGTCAAAATGTCAACGGATAAGGTTATAGATACTTAATATAAGCGCCTGCGAATCCTTTTTAGCTAGCTGCGAATTGACGAAACTTATGCAAAGGTGCGGTTGCTGTCTCTACCAGGACTGTTCGCTGGGGGAGAATTGGTGCCGCTACGCGGGGTAAGGGCCGCACTATCCAAGGCGAAAGGGCGTTCTTGGAGACAAGCGGAGTGGGAGGACGTGTGGGGAAAAAAGATTGACTGGCGGAAGGTCATTGAGACCAGAGACTCGATAAATGTACCGGGCAAGGCGAGGGACGTCCTACTAAGGGTTCACAGCATGAACCTGCAGGTTGGGGGGAGGCTGGGTTTCTTCCAGAACAAGATAGCATGTGTGCACTGTGGAGAGGAGGAAACCCTAGCACATTGTCTCTACAGCTGCCCGGTCATACAACCGATCATTGGCGCGCTGAAGCGGACGTTGCACATGCTGAACCCGGGCAGGTCGGTGGACTGTCTGGGGGACCTACTGTTTGGCGAAAAGGGCACAGCGTCAGGTTTTCCGGAGATGACGCTGACATCAGTGGTGCTTAGGCAGATCTGGTTGGCGCGATGCAATGCAGTTTGGCGCGCAGCTCCTTTCGAGAGAAAGAAGGTGGGGAGATGTGCTGTGCTGGACTTCATGACGCATGCGAGGGTGGTGCTGGCAGCAAGGGGAAGGCTGGCAGCGGCCGATGAAGGGAGAAGTTTCTGAGAGACAGACAACTGGAGCCATGTGGCTGCGGATGAGAAGTTGCAGCTTCAGAAGATTTGCAGTGATGGTGGGCCAACAATTTGGGCGGCTCCTTTCCTCTCCATCTGGCGCAACCCGCGCACTTTCTATCAGCCTCCGTAGCATGCCATAGGGGGGCGGTGCGGCGTCCACAAGGCGTGGCCTAGACCCTCCAAGATATACAGTTACGACTGCGGATGTATCTATATTTGATAATATATTTACACCTCCAAAAAAAAAAAAAAAAAAAAAACTTTTGCGAGATGCACGTATCAGCTTATACGCCCCCTTCACAAGGCAACCGGGAAGGGCTCAAACAGGCATCAATTGTACACACAATAGCACAGTGTAGAACCTCGCACAGTAGCACTTGTGGACCTACAGTAGCTTTCTGGAACATCTCACATCCGAGTCATCCGAGTCATCTCCCATTTCCCTCCCGTAAAACTCGCTGTCAGGTTGCGCGCTGTGCCTCCAGTAGACAAGGCACGCTGCAGCATCGCTGCCAGCCGAACCATCACGAAAGATTCACCTTCCGTTTGCTGCCAGAGCTGCACATTGCACTGTACATACAGCACTTGAAGACGGTGGCCACATGGAACGCAAAATTCCCGCGTTGGAGATCAAGTCCACGGAGGCTGGGTGGGTAAGTTGGGGACGTTTGAAAAGGGTAGGATCCCAGCACTACCAGACCGGAGTCTTTCGAGACTGTAAGGACGTGTCATGGTTCGCCTACGATTGCCTCGATCAGAGCCGATCAATAAATTCCGGGAAGCTAGGGTGGCGATTTCAGGCAATCGGGGGCAATCACTTGATCGCGATCAGCTGATCGCCCCAACTCGATCAACCGCCTAAATAAGCCCAATCAAGCACAACCCACACAATCACCGACGATCAGTTGATTGCATTGGCTTGGGGTACCAAGCGACGCTAACGAAAAGTTACAGTACTGTGCCAAATTTCGTTTGGCATGGACGGCAAACTAAGCCCCACATGGACGGCATGCCATTCGGGAGCCTCAACCCTTAAATTTTAGGGTTTAGGCTCCCGAATGGCATGCCGGTCGTTATGGGTTTTGGTTTTTTTCTGCCCGGGTCAGGGTGACGCTCCCGAAAGCCAATAGTGGCTGTGGATTCACAGCCACTAGTTGAACGTTCCTCATGGGACCTGGCTGAATCTTCCACGCTGCTGTTTGCTCTTTTGTGCAAGTACAGTTCATGGAACTGTATAAAGTATGAACCACAAGTATTTCGGTAACTTTTGCCTAAGGCACTCCCCGACAGGTACACTTCGAATTCTAAAAAGGAGGTGCAAGCCTTACGATTAGTCTACTTGTGCAAAGGTCATCTGATGCTACGTACAAAAGCGTACAAATTACAGTGGTCAAGTGTGTTTGATGCTATATAGTGGCTGCATTAAAAAGTGATCGATTATTTTTTTCCACAAGCTCACTTACAGGTACAAATGACCTACCTACCGGTACCATATTTCCACCACAGATAGCGTAAAATATGATTTTATGCTATTTACTCCCAAACCATGTCACCAAAACGGTTTTATGCACGCTTTCAAGACAGAAAAATACAATCAACTTCTTTACTATGCATCCTATCTCTAGGCAAATACGGTACAGAGTGCAATGCAACCGCATACCAACAGCAAGCTAGAAACATACGGTAAGATAAAAACCACATTTTCAGGTTGAGGCAGGAAAAACATTGGAGAACTACCTTTGTCAGACAGGGATGCATGCAATGGGGAAAAGATGGGAAACGCATGGCTGCCTGGACTGAATACACATCATGTACCCAACCAGTTGTGACAGGTTTGCTAAATTCTGCCACATTGTCTCCCTTCATGACCATCCCTCCTGCTAAGTTCTGTACACTTTTATGACCTGTTCTTCAGTTCTGCCAATCGCCTTGTCAAGTCGTCCTCAGCATTGGTCTGAGCTTCTCTGGATGGCAAAGCACTCGTGGCAGCACCTGGTAGGCCAATCTGCACCTCCAATCCATGTTCGTCTGCCACCTGAGATATTTTTTTGAAAGAATAGGGATTGGCAAATGACAGTTGAGGTGCAACTAAGCTCTATTAGATGACAATGTGCATGAGTGGAAGCCCCAAAAGACATTTTGTTGTGAAAAAACAATTAGAGGCAGCACGAGCTTATCCGCACCAGCAGCTCAAGCAACATTGCACAAGAAAGGTGTAAGGAAAAAAGTGGGATATGCACATGGATGGAAGCAACAACTCTAAATAGTCCAGTTGATTAACTATGGCCACCTCCAATATCTTGTGTTGAGACGCCTACATATATGAAGTTGATTAAGTTTTACTGACCTGTTACATAAATGTGTTGACGTCCCCCTCCAGTGTTGAGGGTTGAGGTGCCTCAGACGCAGAGAACGGCAAACTCTGGCACAAATTCTGACTGAAATCCAGACGGAAAAAAACCCAACTGACCTGTTGCATGAGCATGTTGACGTCCTCCTCGGGCGTCGACAGCGCCGTGCTGCTGTGCATCGCGTTCTCCACGAACTGCGACTGCACCTCCATGTTCACAAATTGCCGCTCGAACACGTCCATCGTCTCCGAAATCTTCTGCAGGTTGCTGCTCGCGAGCGCGGAATCCAGAACCTTCACAATGCTTCCCATGGAAGTCGTGATGGTGTTCATCCGGGCTTGGGTATCCAGACGCGCGATAACCGCGTCTAAGCGGTTGGATAAGCGGAGGTAGTTCAGCTGCTCGGAGCGCTTCCGGATGGCGTTTTGAGCGTAAATCTTGCCGCCTTCCATGTTGCCCTTTTCGATGGCTTTTTTTACCTTAAGCTTCTGCTCCTTCTCTTCTTTCTCGCACTTCTTCGCTTGACGGACTAGCGTCTTCGACGTGAACTTAAGCTGGAAAATCTGGTCCATGAGCTTCTCTTGGTTCCCCATGGCTACCGATACCGTATAACTAGGCTTAGCTCTCAATGAAAAAGATACAAGCGCAACAGCTAGTTCGCGAGCTTAAGCGAGAGGTTAGGAGAGCAAAGGATTTTGGCGCAAGCCAAAATGCCAAGAAAGGGTCGCGTAAAAGAGTCGCTACACGCGAGTCGTAAATTAAGTTCGGAACTGGATGTGTCGGCAAGAAGCAAGAGTGACGCTACACGCGCAAACACGAAGGGGGGGGGCAGGTATAACGCGGAGTGGCCTTCAGTGGAATGGGAGTGAAATGGATGAATGGATGGATGTGGTCCTCCAACTTTTGCCCCCCCCCCACAGCGGAAGCTGGAGGAAGGCGAAGCGAAGGCGGACAATGGAGTGCACTGCACAACCGAGAGGGTCCGCGCTATAAGACGAAGGCACTGGAGCCTTGGAATTTTCGGCCATAGAAGGGAAGCCTCATACATGCTATTTACACCCAGCTCAACACAACACATGATACACCACAGCTGGCTTTCTAACCAGACATTTGAGAAACTAGCCATTGGAGTAAGCGCTTTACCTCAGAAAGCACCAGTTAATATGCATAAATGCTATACAGTGAATGGAGCCGTAATCATCTACGACCCGCCATACCACCCCTTTTTCATATGCGGCCAAACGACCTTGTGAAGAGAGTCTAACACCTGGAGGAAGGTAGGCAAAGCCCTGTGAAAAAAAGAAGACACAGCAAGTGTTGGAAGGATTTGAAAGTTGCACGAGGGTGGAGATTTGCACTGGGAACCCACACAAGGAAAACGGAAAATGCAGACATGCAACAACACTAGTGGATACAAGCAAAACACATTGGGAGTGGGAGTTGGGGAGAGAGAGATAGGACAAGGAACAGAACGAGAAAGCCTGTGGAATAAAAACACTTGATATGTTCGCCTTTCCAGCCCCTGATTACGTGCTGTACTGTACGGCTGCTGACATGGCACCTCACCTGCTGTATGGCTTGTGACATGGCAGCGACAGCAGTGCAGCGAGCGTCCTCGTCAGCCATGGTCTTCTCCCAAGGCACCTTGGACAGGTCAGCTGCTGACGTGGCAAGCATGTCCAACCCTGATTGGTTTGCTAGGAGCAGCTCTGGCGATGCCTGTGGGCGGACCAACGGGGAGGCATGGGAAGCGGCAGGTATGGGAAAGGCAGGGATGGGAAGGGGCAGGGATGGGAAAAGGCAGGGATGGGAGAAGGGCAGGTTAGGAGGCTATCAGAATATGGTTGAGGGAAGCGCAGGCGAGGTGGGGCAAGTGAGAAGTGGAGTGAGAAGGATAACTGAGGCGAGGTTCTTGCGGCGGGGGGGGGGGGGGGGGGGGGGGGGGGGGGGGGGGGGGGTGGGGGTGGGGGGGAGAGGTTTGAAGGTGAGAGGGGGTGATTCTGGCAAATGGGGGAAGTTTTGATGGGTGAGAAACGTACCCGCCAGGCGATGCAAATGATGGCATCCCGGTGCTCCCACTACACCCTCAGCAGCGAGGGGGGCCGAGAAAGGTTTGAGAGAGGGAGAGAACGAGACAGCAGAAGAGGGAACTAAGGCGTACCCGCCAAGCGATGCATATGATGGTGTACCCGCCAAGCGATGCATATGATGGCGTCACGATGCCCCCACAACACTCTCAGCAGGCGATATGAGAGGGCGAGCGAGGAAGCGAGAGAGGCTCTAGAGTGGATGCTAAAAGTGAAATGTACCCGCCAGGCGATGCAAATGATGGCGTCGCGGTGCTCCCACAACACTCTCAGCAGGCGTGACAAGTCCCCCCCTGCTAGCGCTGCCCCTGCTGCTGGCGACAGGTGTGACCCCACTGCCACCCTGCCATGGTGGGGAAGGGAAGGACAAGGGGAGAGGGAGGAGGGGGGGGGAGAGGGAGGACGGGGGGGGAGAGGGAGGACGGGGGGGGAGAGGGAGGACGGGGGGGGAGAGGGACGGAGGAAAGGGGAGGGGGGGGGGGAGGGGGGAAGTGTGGAGAAATGATGGATGTAGGAGCAGACTGTTTCTGCTGCAGCGGACAGTCCAACCCCACGGCCACTCAGACATGGTGAAGGAGAGAGGAGGGTGGGGGGAGATGGGTAAATGGTGGGACGGCGGAACGTTATGAAGGGGAGTGATGGGCGGAACAGCGGACGCAACAACACATGCGCGTGACTTGGAGAGCGTTGAAGAGCCGCGTCACACAGGAAAGATAGACGTTGAAAGCAGACGGGAATTGATGGATGAACAGGCTGGCAGGCGGGCGGGCGGGCGGGCGGGCGGGCATGAAGGCGGATGGACAGACAGGCAGAGAGATGAAGAGACAGAGAGAGAAGCCATAAGGCACGCACTTGTAGCTCTGAACGATCCATCTTGCCAGTTGCATCGCATGCGAGCCGCCTCCCCCTCCTCCCCCCTCCCCCACCACCGCCGTTGCCGCCGCCGCCACTCGAAGTCGGGCCTCCAATGCTACCTCCCCCGCCTCCCCCTCCCCCTGCTCCTCCCCCTCCCCCAAATCCTCCGCCCACTCCCCTCCCCAGAGAACCCAGGCCCCCAAGAACCATAGAATCGCCTAACCCTCTCCCATTCTCCCCAACCCCTCCTCCCGCTCCTGGCCCCCCTCCCCCCATTCCTCCCCCTTTCACCTCTCCCAACCCTCCCCCGATCCCCATTCCCATGCCTATCACCCCCAATGCAGCCGAACCCTCCCCACCCAGACGGTTAGGCCCGGAGCCGTCCCCAACCACGCGGCTAGGTCCGGAAACATCCCCCGCACCTCCCGCCAGGGCTGCTACAGCACCACTGGGAGATCGGGCGGCAGAGGCTGTAGCGACTGTAGCTGCGCCAGATGCAGACGGATGGAGCCGTCCGGCCATGCTGGGCATGCCGGGCGGCCGAGCGTCAGGAGATCTAAGATTCCCTGCTGCTGCCGCTGCAGCTGCAGCGTTATTAGCCGCTGCTGCATTAGCTGCAGCAGCTGCAGCGGTTTGAAAAGAACCAGCAGCAGCAGTAGAGGGGAGAGGGACAGGTGGGGAGCGATTGGGATCAAGAGATCCCACTCCCATTCCTAACCCCCCCAGCACTCCTTGATTCATCAGGCCTCCCTGCCCGTTCAAACCGCCCACTCCTTGCCCGTTCATGTTGCCAAAAGAACCAATACCGAGGCCAGATGCCAAGGCCGAAAACGCTGCAGCACCCGTGGCACCAGCAGCAGCGGCGGCGGTGGCAGCAGTGGTGGTGGGGGCAGCAGAGGAGGAGGAGGGTCCTGCAAGCAATGCTGCATTCATCCCTGCAGGAAAGCCTCCTGGGAATCCCGATGTGTTTAGACCAGAGGCGTTGAGACCGGAGGGCGTGTTGGATTGTAACCCTCCAAATCCGGGGGTATTGGAATAAAGCCCCCCGAGACCGGGGATGTTGAGACCAGCAAGGGAAGCACCAGGGAACCCTAGGGCCCCACTGTTCGTACCTGCTGCTGCAGCAGCCGCAGCGGCAGCAGCAGCAGCTGGGTTTGAATTCAGCCCCAGGCTTGAACCCGCTCCTTGACTCCCCATTCCTGTTGCTCCCTGCCCGCCGGTTGAAAGCCCGGGCAGGCCGAGATTTCCCAGCTGCCCGAAATTGAAGAAATTAGACGAGGCATGCAGTGATTGTTGGTTCAAAGGCGTGGCTGCAGCGGCAGCGGCAGCAGCAGCAGCGGAAGGGGCAGTGAGGGAGGAAGGCAGGCCAGTGAAAGCAGCAGCGGCGGCAGCGGCAGCCACAGCAGCAGAGGTAGCAGCAGGATTAGAGGCTGATGTGGTTGCCCCTGGCAGTTGTGAGAGGGCAGATTGGAACTGCATTTGAGGCCCGTCTACCTGCATCATCATCATCATCTGCTGCTGCTGTTGCTGTTGCTGCTGCTGCAGCAGTTGCTGCATCTGCTGTTGCTGCTGCTGCTGCTGTTGCTGCTGCTGTTGCTGTTGCTGTTGCTGTTGTTGCTGCTGTTGTTGCTGCTGTTGTTGCTGCTGTTGCTGCTGCTGTTGCTGCATCTGCTGCATCATCTGCAGCGGCTGCTGCTGCTGCTGCGGGGGGGAAAGGCTCATGGAGATGCGCTGAATGGCCCCCACCACTGACCGCACATACTGCCTGGCAGTGTTGGCCACCCCCTCCTTGGCTGCCGGGCAGTCAAACACGAACTGGAAGGCGATGGTGAGCACTGATCGCAGCTGCTGCTGCTGGGACGGCTGCGACTGCTTGTCTAATGATGCTGCCAGGTCTAGCGTTTGCCCGTCCTGCGATGATTGTGGGAGTACGGGGGGAGGAAATGGGGTGGGGGAGAGGAAAGGAAAGAGAGGGAGTGAGAGAGGAGAGACTGACGGGAGGGGAGGGGAAGGGCAGTGAAACACGAACTGGAATGCAATGGTCGGCACTGAGCGCAGCTGCTGCTGCTGGGACGGCTGCGACTGCTTGTCCAGTGATGCTGCCAGGTCTAGGGTTTGCCCGTCCTGCGATGATTGGATTGGGAGGTTGAGCAGGTAAGGGGTTTGGCAATTCTTAGTCGAGTTACGAATGAGTGCAGCAGCAGCTGCTGCATTGACCCAAAAAGAACAAAACTGGGAGGGTAGAAGTGACCCACACGTTATCTACCTGGGAGGGTGGCAATGAGAGCGGGTGACTCGGAAGCCAGATGGCAGGAGAGGCACAGTGTCGGCTGTGGAAGCTGCGTCCACAGGGTGTGAAGAGCTGTGAGCCGCGGAAGAGGAAATACCAACCTGGGAGGGTGGCAGTGAGAGCGGGATGACTCGGAAGCCAGATGGCAGCAGCGGAACGGTGTCAGCCGTGGAAGCTGCATCCACGGGGGCAAAGACCAGCTGAGCTGTCGCACTGTGCGGCGGCGCTGACGTGGCGGATGATGCTGACATGGAGCCTGACGTGCTGTCGTCCTCGATGCCGCTGCAGAGCTGCGATATCACATGGGAAAACGGGGGAGAGGGGAGGGGGAGAGGAAGAGAGAAGAGGGGAGGGGGGGATGGGGAGGGGAGAACAAGTGGAAGCGGGGAGGAGGGAGGGGGAGTAGGGAGGAGCGGCAAGAAGGGAGGGTAGGTAGGAAAGCGGGGTGGGTGGGGCGAAGAGTGAGGGGAACGGGGAGAAGCAAAACGGAATAGAGAAGAGAAAGAGAGTGCGGCTGAAAAGCGGGAAAGGGGGAGAGGAGGAGACTGGCACAGTTGTGGGGGGAAGGGATGTGGGAGTGGGTGCAGGCAAGGAGAGGCAAAGGTGGATACTGATGCATGAGCTGATGCTGATGATGATGCATGCTCATGCTGATGCTGATGCTGATGCTGATGCTGTAGCTGATGCTAGTGCTGATGCTAATGCTGATGCTGATGCATGCTGATGCTGATGCATGCTGATGCTGTTGCTGATGCTGATGCTGCTGCTCATGCTCATGCTCATGCTCATGCTGACGCTGATGCTGATGCTGATACTGATACTGATGCTGATGCATGCTGATGCTGATGCTGATGCATGCGCTGATGCTGATGCTGATGCTGATGCTGATGCTGATGCATGCTGATGCTGATGCTGATGCTGAAGCTGATGCTGATGCTGATGCATGCTGATGCTGATGCTGATGCATGCTGATGCTGATGCATGCGCTGATGCTGATGCATGCGCTGATGCTGATGCATGCTGATGCTGATGCTGATGCTGATGCAATCGTTTAGCGAGAGTAAAAACGACTCTGTTACCCCACCCGCAGCACCCACCCACCCGCAGCACCCACCCACCAACACCTTTAGGAAAGGCCTCACCTGCAGCAGAAACGTTTCTCTCGCTCCTGCCATCCCTCGTGTGGCAGCAGCTGGCTCGAGCTTCACGAGCTCGAGAAACTGATGAGGGGACAGTGCGGACAGCAGGGAGGGGAGGGCAGGGGAGGGGTGCGTGCAGGGAGTGGGGGAAGAGGGAGCACGAGTAAGTGAGAGCCATCCCCCGTGTGGCAGCAGCTGGCTCGAGCTTTACCAGCTGCTGACAGTGGGGGAAGATGATGGGGGTGTGTGGGGGAAGATGATGGGCGAATGGTCCGCGTGCGCGCCTTGGTCCGCGCGCGCGGAGGGATGAGCAAAGAACCGAACAGGTTTTGATTTTTTAGCTTAAATTGTTTGCCCGAACGTGTTCGAGGTTTGCCCGAACACGCCTTCACAGGCGAACGGCGAACACCCTTTTTTGGGAAAGTCGTTCGGCGAACCGAACATGCAAGGGCGAACGCGAACATGTTCGCGTTTGCCCTTTGCTCAACCCTACCTTGGTCCTCTTCCTTATCAACAGCATAGGCGAGTGGCAGAGGCACGTTCCCAGTCCCTCCAGCAGCAGCAGCGCGAGCACCCATGGTGGCCTGCTCTGCCGCTGCTGAACCCATCATACCAGCCAGCCCACCCGCTCTCTCTCTCTCTCACACACACACACATGATCGCACCTCTTCCTGATCCACAGCATAGGTGAGGTGCGGAGGCACTTTCCCCGCGCCAGCAGCAGCAGCGCGAGCACCCATGGTGGCCTGCACCGCTGCTGCTGAGTCCGCCTACCTCCTCCTACCCACCCACCCACCCACCCACTCCGTACTCACCTCCTCCTGGTCAACAGCATAGGCGAGTGGCAGAGGCACTTTGCCGGCGCCGGCAGCAGCAGCGCGGGCACCCATGGTCGCCTGCACGGCTGCTGCTGAGTCGGCGTCTATCGTGCCGTCTGCCCACTCGGAGCGATGGTGACGCAGGAACTTGATCAGCAGCACTGGGGAGACGTTCTGAGAAAGGGGGAGGGGGGTGTAGGGGTGGAGGGGGGGTTGAGGGGAGTGGGGGAAGAAAAGAGTTCATTGGATGAAGGGCTGAATCGGCATCTATAGTGCCATCTGCCCACTCAGAGCGATGGTGGCGCAGGAACTTGCGCAGGAGCACCGGGGACACGTTCTGGGGAGGGGTGAGGGGTCGGGGAGGGGTGTAGACGCAGAGTAGGGGCGGGAGAGAAGGGAGAAGGAACGAGGGGCTAAGTCAGGCGAATGGTGCTGTCAGCCCACTTGAAGCGATGGTGACGCAGGAACTTGATTAGCAGCACTGGGGACACGTTCTGAAGAGGTGGGCCGTGGAGGGGTGGGGTGGGCAGGGAAAAGGGGAAGAGTGAGAGCATCAGGGCTTGAGGACATGCCAGTACGAGGAAAGAAATAATAAGTGAATACTACAGCAGCACCCACCCAGCAGCATGGATGGATGCCTTGGCGCACAGCACTCCCCCGCCCACAGGCCCAGACGCATCTCCCCCTCCCCCCATCCCCCCAAATTTGGGGCGAAGACAAAGGGACCACACCATTTCTCCCCTCCCCCCACCCCCCCTATTTCTTGGTCGCCTAACAAGCTCTCCCATTTCCCACCAACCTGCAGCAGCATGGATGCCTTGGCGCACAGCACTCCCCCGCCCACAGGCCCAGGCGCATCTCCCCCTCCCCCCATCCCCCCTGCGGCCTTCCCCCCGGCGCCCGTGGCTCTGGCAGCAAGGGTGACGTCATCCATGCCGTCTCCTTGCATCTGCTCCCACCCGTCGTCTGTGAACCCATTCACCGCCTCGTTGAATCCCCTGGAGGGAGTAGGGAGAGGAATGAAAGATGTGAAAGGAAGAGCGATGAGAGGAGGGGCAAGAGATGCCCTCACCAGGCATCTGCTCCCACCCATCGTCTGTAAACCCATTCACTGCCTCGTTGAATCCCCTGCATAAGAAGAGGAAGCGGGGAGGGGGGAGAAAGGCGGATTGGTAGGCTGTGACTGGAGGGGAGAGAGCGGGATGGTGGGGCCAAAAGTTACGACGCAGCAACTTGTACTATGCACCTGTACTCATGCCTTGACGCAACCTCCTCCCACTCACATGGCAATGCGCTCTGCGATCGCGCGCCACGCTGTGAGCTGCCGGTCCTGCCGCCGCCCCGACTTCGGCCTGCTGCCTGGCCCCCCCCGCACCTGTCCAGCCTCTCATTTCACTCCCATAAACACTCTCACACGGCAATACTCGCCAAGCCATGAGCTGCCTGCCGCTCTCCCCACCACCCACCCCTTCCTGCTCTCACCTCACTCCCATAAACATTCGTTTCATCCCACTCACATGGCGATGCGCTCTGCGATCGCGCGCCACGCTGTCAGCTGCCGGTCCTGCGGCCGCCCCGACTCAGCCCTGCTGCCCGCCGCCCCGCCCTCCCCGCTGGTGGCCTCACCACCGCCCCCTCCCGACCCCTCGTTGGCCACCTTGCGCAGGTAGCGCAGGGCCTCTATGGTCATTCGGTGTGCCAGCGCTGCTGACGACTGGTACAGCGGCCGCAGCACCTCTGGTACACTGGACGCCTGGTGGGAGGGAAGTGGAGCGGGAGAGGAAGCAGGAGAGGGAGGAGAGCGGGAGAGGGAGGTGGTGGGGAGAGGGAGGAGTGGGGCTTTCAGAAGGGGCTACAGGTGGCCTCGCTGGTGGCGTCGCCCCCGCCTCCCGACCCCTCGTTGGCCACCTTGCGGAGGTAGCGCAGGGCCTCGATGGTCATTCGGTGTGCCAGCGCTGCCGACGACTGGTACAGCGGCCGCAGCACCTCTGGTACACTGGACGCCTGGCGAGAGAGCAGGGGAGCGGGAGGAAGTGGGGAGAGGGAGGAGGTGGGGAGAGGGAGGAGGTGGGGAGAGGGAGGAGGTGGGGGTTTGGAAAGGGGTTACAGGTCCTACAGGAACGACTGGTAGAGCGGCCGCAGCACCTCTGGCACACTGGACGCCTGGCGAGCGCAAAGGGGGGGGAATGGGGAGGAGGTAAAGGGGGTTGGGGAAGGGAGGAGGTAAAGGGGGCCAAGGGAGGGGAAGAGGACTGGTACAGCGAAAGAAGCAGCACCTCAGGAACGCTGTACTAGTCCTCTTCAGCTTGGCGCAGGGGTCATCTTTGCGCTGTAAAATGGCTCTTCTTGGCTGCACTGCAGCACCTTCAAACGCTGGCATTTGGAGAGTGCGGGAAGAAAAAAGGGGGAGAGGTGTAGCGTAGGGTGCAGAGGTAGCGAGGTACGGAGGGAGGGGAGAGAGAAGCGGAGGGCACCTGCAGGTCGAGGTGGTCGACAGCAATGATGACGGAGCCTCCCCAGTCGCACTGGCGGATGAGGTAGCCGCTGGGGAGCATCTCGGCACAGCATAGTGAGAGGAGGGAGAGGGAGGGTAGCGGCACACCTGCAGGTCGAGGTGGTCAACAGCAATGATGACGGAGCCTCCCCCGTCGCACTGGCGGATGAGGTAGCCGCTGGGGAGCATCTCGGCTCGCACGAACGACGGCACAGCCGGCATGGACGCGCCCCCGTGCGCGTTGCTGAGCGACCGCTCGCAGATGACCACGCCGTCTTCTAGAAGAGAGGTGTAGCGTAAAGTGCAGAGGTCACGCGGAGGGGCCAACGTGGTTGGAGCGTACATCTGGAAAGGAAAAAGAGGGACAGGGAAGGGCAGAGGGGGGGGAGGGCAGAGGGGGGAGGAGGGCAGAGGGGGGCATAGTGTGCAGAGGTCACAAGGGGGGGCGAGGGCGGTTGGAGCGTACATCTGGAAAGGAAAAAGAGGGACAGGGAAGGGCAGAGGGGGGCACAGGGCAGGGGGCCAGGAAAGCAGTGGGGAAGGGGAGCAGATGAGCACAAACGACGGCACTGCCGGCATGGACGCGCCCCCATGCGCATTTCTCGGTGACCGCACCTGAAAATTCACCTGAGTCCACCTGGGCGTGTATATGAGCCTACCTGGGTGTAGACGAGCTCAACAGTGCCCCCATTGGGCGTGCGGAAGCCCCCCAGCACGTCGCAGCGGCGGCACTCCCTCAGCCACGCCACTCGGTCCTTTAGCAGCTCTGCTGCCTGCAAGGGGTATTGTGAGAGGGACAGGACGGATAGGGGAGAATGGAGATAGGAGGTCCGGATTGAGAGTCAGAGGCACGGCTCCCACAACACACGTCACAGCGGCGGCACTCCCTCCGCCACGCCACTCGGTCCTTTAGCAGCTCTGCTGCCTGCAAGGGTTGGGAGCGAGACAGGCGGATGAGAGCGGCGGATGAGAGGGGAAGGATGGACAGATAGTGCCTCGAGGCAAGGAACTTACACACACCACCCGAACCTTGAGGAGATCTGCTGCTTGGAGGGGATAGGACTGCTGGTTGAGTGCTGTCACTTTGTGTGTGACCCAGTGGATTAGAAACCGAACAGCCATATGTGGGCATGCGGGAGAGATTCACGATTTCCAGGGCTGCTTGAACAGGTAACACTCAAACTCACCTTGCTGGGCGGCAGCAGGACGAGGCCAGCCGCCCGAGCTGCAACACCGGGCCCTCCACATGCGATGGTGACCTTGCCTATGTAGCCGGCTCCGACCTGCCAGGGGGGGATGAATGAGGAAATCAGAGCAAAAGAGAGAAGTATTTAGACGTCTCAACCCTCCACATGCGATGGTGACCTTGCCTTTGTCTCACCTTGACGCCCGGCATCTCAACAAAGTCCATGGACGTGCCATAATAGGCCTTCAACATAGACATTACGAACACCACTTCCCCTCTTCCCGGCTCCTCCCCCTCTCTCACCATAATTTCCACCACCCCTCCCCCTCGTCTCACCTTGACGGCCGGCATCTCAACGAAGTCCATGGACGTGCCAGTGGCCTTCAGAGTATGCCATGCAGTGAAACAAGCTCCCCACCTCCCCGTTCCCCGCCCCCCCCCCCCCACCCCCCTCGTCTCACCTTGACGCCCGGCATCTCGACGAAGTCCATGGACGTGCCAGTGGCCTTGGCCAGGAACTCCGACAGGATCTGCTCCGCTATGGGCAGCAGGCTGGAGGGCAGCGGGGGTGAAGGGGACACGGGGAGGGAGACAAGGCATGGGGGCAGGAGGAGAACGGGAACGGTCAGGGAAGTGGCAGGGGCATGAGACGTCCATGGGACGCGCCAGTGGCGTTGGCCATTGAGGCGCCTCACAATACACCTCAATGGCCATTGAGGAACTCGAGTTGACTCTTGAGTCGACTCAAAAGTGAACTCGGATAAAATTTGCTCCGCTATGGGCAGCAGGCTGGGGGGGTGAGGGGTAGAGGGAGACGGAGACGGGGGGGGGAAGGGCGTGGGGAGGTGGGGGAAGGGAGGAAGGGAGGGAGGAAGGGGAAAAACGGGGCACAAGGAATGGTGGCAGGGGAAGGGCAAGGAAGGGGCAGGTAATAGAGCAGGAGGCAAGAAGGAACCGGGTCACAAGTGGACGACGGGGTTGCAAGGAGATTTGCTTCTCTATGGTTGGCAGACTGGGCCGGGTAGGGGAGTGCAGAGAAATGGAGGCAGCGAGGAGGCACGGAGAAGGCAGGGAAGATGGATGGAGGAGGCAGGGAGGCAGGCGGGCAAGCAGGCGGGCAGGCAGAGAGGCAGAACATAAGAATCGGAGGGCAGGAGACGCACCCAGAGGCGCCAGGGTCGCCAGCAGGATTGGAGCCGGTGACTGCAGAGTCTGATGTCAGATTGGTGCCTACAAACCCCAGCCTTGGGAGCAACTGCTGCTGCTGCTGCTGCTCTGCTTGCTGTGTCTGCTGTTGCTGTTGCTGTTGCTGTTGCTGCTGCTGCTGTTGCTGTTGCTGTTGCTGTTGTTGCTGCTGCTGCTGCTGTGCCGCTCCCAGTTGCCGCTGCTTCAGCACGTCTAAAGCCGCTGCCCCTCCGCCAAACTCCCCTCCTACCCCTCCTACCCCTCCCACTCCTCCCACACCTCCCAACCCTCCTAGCGCAGCTGCTCGTAGCTGGGAAAAGATGTCTGGCTGACCCAGCGGTAGGCCGGGGTGCATTCCCGGGGGAAGAACCGGCTGATGTCAAGGGATGGGGGGAAATGAAAGGGGAATACAAGGAAAGGAGGCATGACACGAGATTGGGGAAACGATGTCTGGCGGGCCCAGGGGCAGGCCTGGGTGCATTCCTGGGGGGTGAACCGCCTGATGCCAAGGGGTGGGTGGGGGGAAAGGCAGGAAGGTGAGGGAAGGATGAGATAAAGGAAGGGGGGAATCAAACGAGCTGGGGATTGAGAGAGCAAGGCGAGGGGGGCGGGGAGTTGGGTGGGGGTAGTTTCGGGTTAAGAGCAGGTATGAGGGGAGAACGCGGAAGAGCTGAGCAAGGGAGGGCAGCCATGGAGCGGTTTTCGTGGCAAAAGTGCGGCTTCGAAAACAGCTGGAACGAACGCTTACAGCAGTGGGAATGCCGGGCACGGGCCCTCCCGCAGCAGCAGCAGCGGCAGCAGCAGCGCCGGGGAGCTTCATCGGATCCGCAGCAGCCGCAGCCGCAGCAGCAGCGGCGGCGGCTGCAGCTACAGACCCCGGCGACGGTCCGCCGAGCTGCTGCGACGCTTCCAGGCGTGCGACCTGCTGTCGCAGGAGCATGTTTTCGAGCGTGAGCTGCGAGATCTTGCGCGTGGAGAGCTCGTTCTCCTCCACGAGCAGCTTGTTGAGCGCCGAGAGCCGCGAGTTCATGCTCTGCAGCCGACTGTACTCCATCCGCTGCCGCTCGCGACATCTGGAGCGGGAGCGGGTTACAGGGTTGCGGGTTGCGAAAGGGAGAAAGTGTTACAGGACTTGACGGGGTTACGCATCGGGAAGGAGATTAAGCTGGTCGAGAGGTTTGCTTCGGCTTGCTTGCCGAACAGGGAACAATGTGGCGACTTTGAAGCTCTTGCTATCTGGAATTGCTCGGGTTCCGACATCGAAAGCGCACCGACTGACGCGTGTGAGAACGATTCGAAATTACATAGCTTTGTCTCATGTCAATTCCATGAAAGTAAGTAGACGCAACGAGGAAGAATGTTCTAAAAATGCAGCTCCGGTCTCGGCCTTTTCAACGAGGAGCTTGAAGCGGCTCAGGAGGCTCGAAAACGAGAATGCGGAGGCCACACGTGCTCGACCTGAAAAAACGCTAACGACGTCTTAAATTCCGCAGTAGATATTTAATACCTTCGGTTCTGGAACCAGACTTTGATCTGCTTCGGCTCGATGTTCGAGAGCACGGGATACTCTTTAATAAGCTGCGATCGCCGGACGGAGCTGGGTTTCGGACATTCCTTATAGACTTTCTCCAACACCTCCACCTGTTCGCTCGTGTATCTAACGTATTTTCCTCCCTCCGCGGGACCGTCATTGCCCGGATACTGATCTCCCTCCTCATCCTGCTCTCTCTCGTTCTTATCCTCGCCGCTTTCATGCGATTTCTCTTGCCCTTGCCCTGCTCCTCCCGCCGACGTCACCATTACGCTTTTATAACCCTCCTCCCACTCGTATCTCTTACGCTTTCCCTAATCTGCACTTTCCCTAACCGCTTTGACTAGGAAGGACAGGAGGGGGGGTTCCTCTGTTGATGCTGCTTGGACCAGTGGTGTTGAGAAAGTGAGAAAGTGGCGGTTCAGTGTTCAAGAAAATGATGATTCCAGCAGTCGCACTGAGTGGTTTGTTGCAGTTGTCCTGCTGGAGGGCTATCAGTGCCGTCGGCTAGGGTTTGTAGTTTTCCTCGCAGCGAGCACGGGCAAGGCAGAGCGATGATGAGGGAGGGAAAACAGGAGGAGAGGTATGATGATGATCCCCAGGAGCGCGCGGAAGATGATGATCATCTAGGCTCGGGACAAATGTGGCGCGAGCGCGTTTGCGGTGCAGACGCGGAAGCGGTGGTGCGGGGAATCTCAAGGGAGAGGGAGGCAAGCGGAGGGTGGCGGAAGAGAGGGTTAGGGAGATGATGACGATCCCAAGGGTCAGGGAGGCCACCAGAGCGGAGGCATGATGAGGCGAGGCTGCAGTATGATGAACCAAGGTTCGGAGAGAGGTCCGGCAGGAGTCAGGCCTTTGCTGTGACTGTTTTCCAAATGATGGAGGCTGATCACTGTTGGTCGGAAGTTGGAGTCCTTCAGGTTCGGCGGGAAAAGCCTCAGGCCGAGCCACGAATTGTGACCAATCGCCTGGTCAAATTTGGTTCGGTTTTATCCCTGCCACGGTTGTTGAACGTCGTGCTAAAACTGGCAACCAGTTTTCACCTGTCACTGCAAACTGCCAGGTTCGATTAGAAACCTAATGTGCGTATATCAATTGTGATAGGTTTTGTGCGTAGTAGCTAGTTGCAATGCATAGCAATATAGAAAAGCTTCACTATCGGGCTTCTTTCCCTGGCTCTGCTTTTCCTTTTCCTATTTTGAAACTAAATGACCCCAATGTTGCCAAAGTTTCAGTTTTCAATTGTTAGCACCACTGACAGCTGCCTTCTTCCCAGTGACTTGGCTATTCACCGCATCCGCAATTTCACACACCGCTGCCACCATCGCAATCGGCTCATTCAGGCGGTTGATGGCAGACCCAACACCCTGCAGGAAGTAGCATAGGGAATCATGGTTTGTGGTTTAGAGGCATGAGTTTTTTTGTAGATAAGGGAGCGACGCAAAGCGAAAGAAAACAAGAAAAACACACACACAAATAATACGGGAAGCAGACATACCACTCCAGAGGCACCAGCAGCGAAGGCAAGAGGAACAGTAACAGCGCTGAGGCCAGAGGCACACATGACTGGAATGGTGACAGCACGGGCAATAGAGTAGGTAGCTGCGATTGTGGGGGTGGCCTGGAGGGGGAGAGAGGGGGAGGGGGGGAAGGGGAAGCACAGAGGCAGAAGAAGGGCAGATATTAGGGCTATGGCTGCTTTGGGAGGTGAGAGAGACTCTTTTCAGGACAGACACACATTCACGACATGGTGATGGCACGAGTACTGGATTAGGATGGTGGGGTTCGTTTGGTGGAGGGATGAAAAGAACAGAGGAGCAGCATGGAGCAAATGGCAAATGTTGACACGATAGAAATGGGAACCGTGGTGAAAACTCGGCGGTTGAGAAACGGCTTAATTAATCACCCACCTTCTCCACCAGCCCTTGAACGCCAGCAGAGGAAGCTGCTGAGCTGGTTCCGCCCTCAGTCTGGATGACGTCAGCGCCGCACTCTTGCAGAGCCTCCGCCAGAGCGACCTGGATGGAGCGACGAGGGGAGTAGAGAGGGACGAGAGGGGAGTGGGAGGGGGACGAGCAGGGAGTGGGAGGGGAGTATGACGCGAAAGGGAAGGGTGAGGGGAGGTGAGAGGGTGAGATGGCATGCCATAGGTCTGTCTGGGACAGAGGGTAGATGGAGGGCAGTTGACAGGTGATGGCAGCAGACAAGTATGAAGTGCGGGGGAAAATGCACATGATGATAAAGGTTTTAGAGGGGTTAAAGCGACGGGCAACTTTTGGCAGTGTTGGGTTCAGAAGTTTTTTTTTTGAACCAGGCTTGCCAGCGCGAAAGTGCTGGCTGGCGAAAACCAGGATTTCGTGCGGACACTTTCCATCCGCAGTAACAGTTCGCCAGGGTTCTGGGTTTTGGGTGGCAAATGTGCACCGTCGCTTTAAGGGATGGATAAATGGAAGGGTTGATTGGATGGGAGGAATTCGGGAAGATAGGGCTGGGACGAAGGGATGGGGGTAACTGGAAAAGGGCATGACTGAAAATGGGCATAGCGAATGTGGGGCCTGGCTAAAGAAGGGGAGATGGGATGGGTGGTTGGAATCTTGAGACGGGGAGAAACGGAGCAGGGAGTGAGCTGCACTGGACGAAGCAGAGGGTGCGACCCAGTGACCGCATTGCATGGAGAGGGAGGGAAGGAGGGGGCGATGAGAGGGATGGTTGGAAGGGCCAACGGGGAAAAAAGGGAGGAGGGAATCAGCAGCACCAAAAGTACCAGAATGTGGGCTACGGTGACTGAAAATGGATGGAGACGGAGGGAAGGAGGACGGGATGGGTGGGGTGGTTGGAAAGGTGCAGGCTGAGGGAGAAATTACCTGTTCGGGCAGAGGCAGAGTGTGGGGAACGGTGACGGAGAGGGCGATGGAGGGGAGCAGCTGGCGAGTGCGACGAGTCAAGTCAAGCACCTGCAGCGATGGCGACGAGAGGGACGAAAATCAGGATAACTGCGCCCACGCCCCGTATCATGCTACCAAGCGGCGTCTCCTTCTAACCGAAGGAAACGCTCTCCCTGCTCATGCTGTTCATCCATACCACTCCGTCGCTCTAGGCTCCTCTCGTCCCTCGCTCCTTATCCCTATTGCTTTGTTCCCCACCCAACTTTCGCTCCGGGATATGGCCTGCCTCCAGTTTCGTGATGCAACTCAAAACTCCTGACGAGACTTAATGGCACGTCTTGACGCGACAGTACAGGCCCGCTTCGGTGGCTCCGAGTCGCCTCATATCTGCATCCAGAGCTTTTTTCCCGCCAGTCCCCTTCACCTACACTGATGAGCCTTCAGCCACTCTTTTAAGTTCTCAGCCGCGCCCAGATCCGTTGGTTTATGTTGATTTTGTAGGGTTTTATCGACTCTGAGGCACAACCGTGCCTTATCTCCGTTGGATTTTGAGATACGAGCTCTTCGGCACAACCTAGCCTCCTCCGCAGTGAACTCGAATCTAGAGGCTTCTAAAAAGCCCGTGCCTTACTTCCGTTACTATTGAAAAGAAAAAGCTCTTTCGCACAGCCCCGCCTTACCTCCTCTGCGGTGAACTCCCGGCCGTCAGGGTAGAACGAATCGAAGTTGCCAATCTCGATCTGCCACGTGGAATCAAAGGGAGATGAAGAGATTAGATTGGAGCGAGGGGGAGAGAACCTCCAAGCGCACGAGTGAACAGGCTGGAGTGTGATTGCTTGCACTGCGGGATGACCACGTTCGCCCCGTGGCTTGATTGCCATATCATGTAATCTTTAAAACTCTACGCTGACTGACTCACCATGTGCGCGCCAGCAGCAACTGCCTCGACGAACTTCTCCGGCTCGACTGCCGACACGCAGATCTGATCGACCGCGCGAGGGAGGAGCATGGAAGGGAGAGAAGGGAGAGAGCAGAGGGAGGGAGGACCAGGGCAGGGAGAAGAACGACAAGGTGAGGGAGGAACAGGCCAGGGCGAAACCATATAGGGGTTGAGGGGAGAAGGAGGCGGATTTTGACAAACAGGGGAAATAAGAATACACACATACATACAGGGGTACATTCATGCCTGGAACGGCTCTCAGAGAGAGCGATGAGGGAGCGGGCAAGATTTTGTCAGGGAGAGACACTGACGCCGGAGGGCTTACAGGGAGAGAGGTGAGGGAGCGGGCGAGGCAAAAGATCGGCATCGCAGGCAATGACGTTAGAGTCGACTCAAAAGTAATCTCCTTACAGGGAGAGAGGCGAGGGAGCGGGCGAGGCGAACGAGATCTGCATCGCAGGCAATGTCGACTACCGTGGCCCCTCCCTGGCGAGTATTGGAAGGGGATGGATGCGGGAAAGACAGGGTCGTTAATCGACGAGGATGAACGGAGTGAGTAGATGCGGGGTGAGGGGAGAAGCACGCTGCAATAGAGATTTAGGATCCAGCCATGGAAAGCGCCGGGTGGAAGAGCGGATGAAACGGAGCGAAACAAATGTGAAATAGACGATGCACATCCGGGTAAGGAGGGGATGGGGAAAGGGAGGATGGGGGAAGTGGGGGATGGGATAGATTGAAGAATGGTAATGAGGAAAGACGTGTTGGACAGGCGTTGCGTACCTTCTCAGCAGCGGAGACGACAGCGGCAACAGAGTCGGCATTGAAGTTGTTGAGTCCTGCGATGGCCTGTAAATACCAGAAACGATATTGAGAATGAACGAAAATAAGGTTTATAAAACGAACGATAACGAAGAGAAAGGGAGTTATGCCATGGTCGTGAACAAGCAAGCAGTCCCCACGCACGATCAACGAAAGGTTGTGTTTTTTTTCCTCACCACGTGAGACGTGAGTGCGAGCTCCTCACAATGAACGAACGACAAAAACAGAATGTTCAGGTATTCTGAAAATGGACATGCGATACTGATGTTCAGATTTCCTTCAAAGCGCACCTTGAAAGCCTTCTTCTCGCGGAAAGATCTCAAAGCGAAGGCTCGGTTGCTCTCGTCGTTGGAAGCCGACGGCTTCGCGGAGCACCTGACGGAACCGTTAGCCTTGCCGGCCGGTGCACGCTTGCTGACGGAAGCAGCGGAGCGCAGGACTGGAGTTCCCGAGATAGCGGCTGAGCTGGCAAGAGCCCTGGATGACGCGGCACTCGCGGATAACGCGGTTGTCGCCACCATTGAGGAGAGGGAGCTGGTGGTGAGAGCAGCCATGGATTAAGAAGTTTACCGTAAAGAGTCTAATACGCGCACAAAAAACAGAAAATGCCGAGAAGATGCGCGACGTCTGCTCGACTCCCTCTCCTAAAACAGGGACCTGACGTTGGCTGAGAGTGAGGTGATGTGAGAACTAGATAGTATGACGAAAATCAACTATGGGATGATGGATTATGGCAGAAAGCTGAAGAAATCTGGAATCCTGGTCAGAGTCAAGAGGAGGTGTGGCGAGGTGGAGTGAGATGAGATGAGGTGGAATGGAGATCCCAAGGTGACGCAAGCAGTGATGGTACTTGCCTGACAAGGAGAAAATCAATCGGCAACTTTCGTGAGACTAGCGCAAAGCGGGCAGAGAGATCCCTGAGAAAGAGATTGCCAGAGCGGACATTGGACGTGTCAGCTACGAGGGGTGATGATGACATGCATTGCTGCGATTGGAGAAAATGTACAAACTTTCTAGCGAGCGTGCGTGTCTTCGTGATAAGCAAAACCACGTGGCGACAGTACATTCGCCATCTCTTTGGTGTCGGGCAAAAATCTGTCTCCACCAACGCATATCTCGGTAAAATCGACTGTTGCATTCTGTGTGAGGGCGCAATGTTCAATTAAAAGGAATCGAGGAAAGGCTGTTACCTCCTAGGAGAGACCACTCACTGGACCAGGCAGCAATGCACAGGAAAAAAGCACTTCTAAGATTCTTGCTTAACAGAAAAAAACACTGCGAGGTCCCCCCGCAGCCCTTACAGCATACACTCCCTGTTGCGACCTCTAAATCCTCTTGCTAAACAACCCATTCTCCCATAAGCGCTTCTACATGTAAGATCTGAGGCCGAGCTCAAGAGCATGTCTAATCCCCTTAGCAAGTGGCGCAGCTGGTGGTAAAGGAGGCTCGGAGTCAGGTACGAGGATGGAGGGCTCGTTGCACTTCCCATGCTCCCCATGTTGACCTGGAAACAACAGCAGCAGAGGTTGTGCTGATTTGACTGTACATTGTGCCTTTGCCTACTGAAGCAATTCAAATGCAGCATGGTTGGCCAAAGAGCTCGGTTATTGTGGTTCATAAGGATGGGGGGGGGGGGGGGGGGGGGGGGGGGGGGGGGGGGGGGGGGGGGGGGGGAGGGAGGAGAGGGGGAGGGGGAGTGGACGCGAGGGGAGAAAGGAGGGGAACCGGGATAAGCTGGGGAGAGAAGCGGAAGAAGGAGGCTGGGAGGGGGGAAGGGGGGTGTGGGAGACGCAGAAAGGGGTTGAAATTTCTTACCTCGGACTCGAGAGAGAACAGCCCATCCAGCAGTAAGGAGGCATGGGAGGAGGCATGCGAGGAGGGGGATGAAGCAGATGGAGAGAGTGTGACTTGAGCAGTGGAGGAGGGGAGGTTGGGTTGCTGATGCGCGGATGGAGTGGAGGGAGAGAGGAAGTGGAGGGAGAAGAGAGGCGGGCGGCGAGGGAAGTCAGGATAGACGACCACCTGACGGGACGGGCGCCGGTGGGCATTGAGCAAAGGGGCAGGACGAAGATGAAGTACAGAGGAAATGACTTACGGAGGAAATGAGGAAATGACTTACGGAGGAAATGCCTTACGGAGGAAATGACTTACGGAGGAAATGCCTTATGGAGGAAATGCCTTATGGAGGAAATGACTTACGGAGGAAATGCCTTATGGAGGAAATGCCTTATGGAGGAAATGCCTTATGGAGGAAATGCCTTATGGAGGAAATGCCTTGAATGCCTTATGGAGGAAATTACTTACGCAGGAATGCTGAGAAAGGCAAATCACGAGTCCGCTGCCGGCAAGAAAAGTTGCCATACCAATGAGCAATTCCAAAATTAGTCAGAAACGGAAAGGTCAACAAAAGATCACATACCAGTGCCTGCAGGTCACACACACCCCTCTCGCCCTCCTCCTTCCTCCCCTTCCGCTCTCCAGTCCCACCACTCCCACTTCCTCCTCCGCCCCCTGCGCCCCGCACAATAAGCTCATACACACAGGCACCAACCCCCAGCACAGTCTCCCAGGCGACAGCAGCAGGGGTGGACGGATGGATGCCATGTGCTGCTGCCCACGACCATGGCAACGCCACCCACACCACCCCTTCCACGCCCACACTGCCCCCTCCACCCTCCCCGTCCCCTGCATCTCCTGTTCCTGCTACAGCTGCTACTGCTGATGCTGTTGACTTGCTCCCGTGTGCTCGCTTACTCCCTCCCTCCCTCCCTTTCTCTCCATCCCTCTCTTCTACCACCCGCGCCTCCTCGCCCCCCTTCCCATCACTCGCCTTCCCTTCGCTCTTCTCCTTACCCTCCCTGCTGCTCCTCCTCTCCCTGCCATTGCTCTTCCCCTCGCTCTCCCGCTTCTTTCCCCCACCCTCCCCCTTCCCTCCTGACCCCCCTTCGAGCTCACTTGCCCCTACCACCCCTGCCAGTCCCCCCAGTCTCCTCTGTGCAACCACCAGTGCCCTAGAGAGCAAAAGACCAGCCGAAAAACCACCCTCCCCTTCCAAACCACCCTCTCCTCCTCCCAAACCACCAACCACCAAGCCGCCCTCTCGTGCCAAGCCACCAACAAAGAGTCCACCGATCCCCTGCTTGCTTCCCACAGCGACGTCTCTACCTTTCCCTCCTCCTGTGCCTTCTCCTCTGCCGCGAGACGATCCTTCCTCCCCTGATCCCTTCTCCCCCTTCTTCTCATCACCTTTCCTCTCGTCTCCTTTCCTCTCATCCCCTTTCCTCTCATCCCCTTTCCTCTCATCCCCTTTCCTCTCATCCCCTTTCCTCTCATCTCCTTTCCTGTCACTCCTTTCCTTCTCCCCCTCCCTCTCGCTCCTCCCCTCCCCTCGCCTCTCCTTTCCTCTTTTCTCCCCCCCCTTCCCACTTGCCAAGTCCCCTTCCTCAGCCTTTCCCCCGATCTGGTTTCTACACGTGGCATTTGGGAACCCCAGCGGGCCAATGAGAAGCTGCCAGCTCACAATGGAGCACTGGGGAAGGTACCCGGAATCTTCTGGCCAGGGCCCAGAGTAGGAAACAGCAGTGGTTTCGGAAGACCTGATAGTGGGGAGTGTGCTTGTAACGAGGGAGGAGAGAACCGCGCTGCAGTCACAGGGGACAATGGACAAGGGAGGGGGGAAAATGAGTGGGGTAAGGGAGGGGGGAAAAGAGAGGAACAAGAAGCTAAACGAAGGGAGGAGAGATAAAGTGGGTTCAGCAGGAGGAATCTAGGGCTGCGGGGAAAGTGCTGCCACTATGACACTTCAAGGACTTCAACACTGAATAACATGAAAACAACATCCTTGCACTCACAAGCCTCGAGGCACCCCCCCAAGTCGTTCAGTCCCTCTGGTCATCCCCCCAGGAACTCAGCATAGCCGTCCGCTCATCATCCCACCCCCCTAGGCAGGCACTCACATGACTCACTTGAGCTCTCTCACGGCCGTCTCTCGCTCCCTCATCGCCTGCAGCACTCACAGGCCTCTGCTCATCTCCCCACCCCAAAGCACTCAACATAGCTGTCCGTTCATCCAACCAGGCAATCACAGCCGTCCGTTCATCATTTCTCCGTTCCCCTCCAGGCACTCACATGACTCACTTGAGCTCTCTCGCAGCCGTCACTCGCTCCCTCATCGCCTGCAGCACTCGCCCCAGCCGCCGCTCCTCCCTGAACGCTTCTAGCCGCTCCAGCAGCTGTGCCCGTGCTCCCCCCGGCCCTGCCTCCGCTGCCCCTCCCTCTCTCGCCACTGCCACTGCCGCTCCTGCAGCAGCCGCAGTAGATGGAGCAGCAGGAGGCGCAGCAGCACCAGACGATGTGGCAGCAGAAGGTTCGACCTCCATAGCAGCAGCGGCAGAGGCAGCAGCAGCAGCACTAGCAGCGGTGGCAGCACCGTCAGCCGCACCAGCAGCAGCAGAAGAGCCGGGGGGCAGCAGGAAGGAAGGAGGGAGGGGCGGGAGAAAATCTAGCCCACACATGAGCTGAGCCCAGTAGTACGGGCGGGAGACGCGTGTAGAGAGAGCCGCCACGAACCCACTCTCCCGTGCTAACGGCTCCTTTGCCATATTCGGGAATAGAAGGCCTGAGTCCTCTGGGAAAATATTAGTGAGGAGAGTGTGGAGGGAGAGAGGGGACGGGGGGAGGGTGGGTGTGGGAGGGGTGGGGAAGAAGGAGAAAGAGGAGGAGGAGGGGAGGAGGGGCGGGGATTGGGATTCGACGGGGCCTACGCAGATGATCCCGAGGTTCCAGAGCATTTCGAAGCGGAGCACTAGCAGCGCGGGCTGTTGGCCGTCTTCTTTGTCCCTTGCCTTGCTCTTTTCCCTCTCTTTCCCTTTCTCCTTCTCCTTCTCCTTCTCCTTTTCCTTCTCTACCTTCTCCTCCTCCTCCGCCCCGCGCTCCCCGCCCTGCCCGACAGCCTCCGCGTTCCCCCGCTCCGCCCTCCCCCGCGCGTCCAGCAGGCGGAGCACCACCGCCAGCGGATGGGGGGAATCCACAGCGCCGATCAAGTCAGCTGCGGAGATCCCCGCATTCACTTGCGCCTGCTTCGCTCCCCCGTCACTGACCACCATAGCAGTGCCCATGGTACCCAAACCATCAGCAACACCGCCACCACTACCGCTGCCACCGTTACCGTCAGCAACAGCAGCGTCAGCGCCAGCACCATCAGCAGCACCGTTACCATCGTCGTTACCACCCCCATCACCATTCCCATCACCACCACCACCATCAGCGGCAGCAGCAACAGCAGCTCCTGCACCGTCGTTTTCAGTATCCGACTTTCGTCGCCTCCTCCTCAACCCTTCCTCCTCCTCCTCCTCCCGCTCTCTCTCCGCTTCTCCCTCCTCCCCCTCTTCTTCCTCCCCCATCTGACCCTCCTCACCCCCTCCCCTTGCTGCAGCAGCAGAGGCAGCGGCAGCCGCTGCTGCCTCCCTCTCTTCCACCATAGCAGCAAACGCTTCAGCTTCTCTAACGCTCCCTTCGATCTCTACCTCTATCGCTTCTTCTAACGAGTCCCTCCGAGCAGCTAATTGCGAGTACAAAACGTAGAGAGGCGGAGGGAGGAGGGACGCTAAGCGGTGTTGCTTCACCCGCCGCGAGTGCTGCATCCCCATTTGCTGCTGGAGCGGACCGGATGCTTTCTTCAAGGCTTTCAGCTGCCCGGGGAGGCTGCCCAGAAACTTTTTCCGGCTGCTGATGCTCTCCTGGAGCGTCCGCCGGCGGATTTCAAGCATCTCCCGCGCGCGAACCAGCTCCTTCCGCTGGATTAGGAGGAAAAAACGCAGAATGGTGGTATTCGCATTCGAAAAAGAGAGTACTGAATACGGATCGCATAAAATCTAGTGAAGTCCGAGCAATTGTTGCAAGCCAACCAATTCGTTCCGCAAATTTGGGGGTACACAAAGAATAGAAGGGCGCTCGAAACGATCAGGGTTAGATATTTCGTCGCTGGATCGACTCCGTCGAACGTAGTATAAACTCGCAGCTGTCGCTAGCGTACCAATAAGGGTTGGACCTTACTTTAAGTCCAGCATACCCGGTAAATTGAAACGTACCTGATGGAGCTCGTAGTTGAGTCGTTGCAGCATCAGCCGGTGCGGATCCTTTTCCAACCCCGGCTCCGATTTAAGGCTCTCCGGTGCATCCATAAAGAAGTCGTGCGCGCTCACGAGCTCAATGTCCGGATGCCGCGAAACGAAATCCCTATACGCGGCGATCGATCTCGCGTGGTGGTTCATCTTGTATTGAAGATTGTGCAGCCGGAGCGCGGTCGTGTCTACAGGAGCTCGCGCCGCTTCGGTCTCCGATTTAACGCGTTCCTCGTCGTTTAAGATCTGACGGTTGAGACGGCGAAGATCCAGGAGGATCACAGAAGCCTCTGTTGAAAACTCCTGAATGTCGGCGAGAGCGGCGGAAGCCGTCTCGTTGTTAGCTGTCTCGTTACCCTCATCGCTTTCAAGCGCTTTAATCTGTTTCTGCTTTGTTAAGAGGATGTTCGATATAAGCTCCTCGAATTTAGACCGTGCCGATACGAGCTCGTCGTAGGTCGTCGACATTGCAGCGAATGAACGCTCGCGCTTCTGCGATACTTTATTACCGATCTGCAATATGTCTCAACGCTTGGCAAAACGCCTAATCGCCAATTCTCCAAGTGTCCAATCGCCAGTATGCGAGCGTCTAGTCGCGGGAACGCGAACGTCAGAAAAAGCAAGGACTAAGACTAGGGGATTGACTAGTGAGAAGGAATGGTGGAGGAAGTGGTTGTATTGGGGAGTATGGAATCATGATATATCTGTGGATCATGATCCTTGGGCTCCTTGGGATTGTCAGGGAACTCTGATGGAGAGAATTACTGTAGAACCTGGATCGGTGATTCATCCTTACTCGCGTGGCCTCGAATTACTCGAGTGGCCACAAAATTTGGTGATAATTACTAGAGTGGCCACGCCAGGGGATTCCCGCTGGCTTTTTTTTCCCCAGCGCATTACCCTACAAGGGTTCGTATCCCCGAAACCTCTGTATTGATAATTGCGCGATTTTCAATTTACGTGATGATTTATAATGGATGTTTTCGTATGATGATTTATATTCAAAATTTATGTTCGTGACTCTATATGACCGCGCCTGATTGGACGCGCAAATAGTCGACCAATCATGCGCAGTCATTAACGACGTGTTGCGACCCCAAGAGATTGGGTTGGGTCGGCTCGACCTGGTCGGCTAAACCCAACCCGACCAGATCTTCGGAAACGGACTCGGGAAATCACCGAATTTCCCGTCGATTCCCGTGCATCCTCGAGGGACCAAGAAAGCAGTTGCCGGGCGGGGCGATGGTGAGCTGGAAAATTTGCGTCGATATTACAGGGTATCATTCTGTGCGACGAATTTGAGGCGACATTTGCGCGAGAACTCTGAAGTGCGCAGACTATGGTAACCTTCTCCAGCTCGATTGGTTGGGTCTGGTTGGCCTGGTTGAGCCGACCTGGTCGATCCAGGTCAGGCAGACCCAAACGGGTCTGGTTGGCTCGACATGGTCGGCTAGACCCGCGATGCAGCCTTCCTAGAAGTGATGGGTCGGGAGGTGGTCGACCCAATCCGTGTGGGTCGCAACCTGCCTTAATGGTCGGGCACATCATATATTAATACCCGATCAGCGATCATAAACTGCAATGCCCGGGCGTCAATGCGCGGGACAATAAATGACCGCGCATGATTGGTCGATTACATGCGCGGTGCTTTGTTTTGCAATGCGCGCCCAATCAGGCGCGGTCATATGGGGTCACGATCATATATTTCGGATATTGAAGATCGCGCATTAATCAGTACAGAGGTTTCGGGGATACAAACCCTTGTAGGGTAATGCACCGGGTAAAAAAAAACCAGCGGGAATCCCCTGGCGTGGCCACTCGAGTAATTATCACCAAATTTGGTGGCCACTCGAGTAATTCGAGGCCACGCGAGTAAGGATGAATCACCGAACCAGGCTCTACAGTAATTCTCTCAACTCTGATGACAATCCCAAGCAGCCCTAGAAGTTGGCGGAACTGGGAGATTCGGTACAATTTGTTGCACATTGTAAAAAATGGAGTGCCTGAAATTTAACATACCACTAAGTGCATATGAAAGATAGACGTTACTGTGAAATCATTTATAGCCCTATCAAGCGTGAGAAGCTATATACATCGTTCTATTCATTACGTAGCCAAGTCAAAACTCGGGTCCAGATGCAAATATGTCGACTAATCCGCGAAAGACTTGAGCAGAGAGTTGCGAGGCGACCACCAACTCCCCATCCACGTTCCACGTGCTTTGCTTTCCGTGAGATGTGAACATGAAGGCGGGGGTCTAGTTACAATAACATATAGGGTACGGACAGAGGGATGAACGGGAGAGGGCAGGGTTGGAATTGGACGGAAGGGGAAAGAATGTGATAAGGTGCGAGCGATGGAATGGAACTTGGAGGACAAGTAGGAAGATTTTGCCCTCATTCATTAGAAAAAAGCTGCTTGCAAACGAAACAGTTCATCGTACCTTGTATGTCTCCACAAATTCAAAGGCGAATGGGTCGGCCCCTTTGCGGGCTAGGCGAGTCAGCTGACTGCCATTGGGGAAATGAGCCATGGGAGGTGGGAGGAGCAAGACACGGAGATAAAAGGTAAACGCAGGCAGACTTAGACATAAGCAGCATCAACACGGCGCCTTCAAATATCGCCGATAAAGAGAGAGAAAACAACCGTGCAAGCTTACTGGAGGTACTCGGGGCGCGAGCACTTGCGGATGAGGATGAGATGCAGATTGCCGTCCGCCAGGTGGGCCTGTGCCGCGACGCCATCTGGCGCCTTGTCGTTTCGACACGACATCACTGCCGCCCCCACGCTGTGGAACTTTCCTCGCACCGTCCTCCAACAGGGCCTCAGCCCCTCACTCTGCTTCTCCATCCCCCCCACTGCACACACACCCTCTCCACTCTGCCCTCCTTTCTGCAATAACCCCTCTTGCTCAGCTACACCCACAGGTGCTGACGTGGCAGCACCCGATTGACTGTGAGAGATCTGGGCCGGGTCGAGTGATGAGGTGTCGAGTGTGAGGAGGCTGTGGGAGGAGCGTGCGAGTTGGGAGAGGTCAGTGCTGCTGGCGCACACAGTGCATCCCGCAGTGCACACATCTGGGAAGCTGCTGCGCCTCATGCTGCCGCGTCTGATGCTGCTGCTGCTTGTGCCGGTACTGAACATAGGGGTCACACATGAAGCACAAGGAAGAAAGAATGGGAAGGTTTGTGATTGAATCGTTCGCAAGCTGGGAGAGGTCAGTGCTGCTGGCGCACACAGAGCATCCCGCAGTGCACAAGTCTGGGAATCTGCTGCGCCTCATGCTGCTGATACCGCGCCTGCTGCTTGTGCTGGTGGTGCTGCACATAGAAGCCATGCAGGAAGAAAAGGCACAAGGAAGAAAAGACAGGAAACGTATGAGTCAGGATTGATCACTGCTGTTGGTCCAAGACCACACACTTTAAAGCCCAGTGAAGCAGCCTTTCACTCATTGTTGACACTTGAAAAAACACACCTAGGCAGGCGCCTCCAGTAACACACCTAGGCAGGCACCTCCAGTAACACACCTAAGAAGGTGCCTGCCCTCCAGTAATGGTGTTTATCCGCCGTTTCTGCACCTCATCTTTCCAGCTTTCATCTCTCTCCCTCTCACCGTGTCTTCACCAGCATGGGGCTGCTGAAGGTGCGCCGCCGCAGCCTTTTGAGGCACCTCAAAGGCACTCACTTGCTCGCCCTCGCCCTCTCACCTACGCCCTCGCCCTCTCACCTACGCCCTCGCCCTCTCACCTACGCCCTCGCCCTCTCACCGTGTCTTCACCAGCATGGGGCTGCTGAAGGTGCGCCGCCGCAGCCTTCCGTTCCACTCCACAGCCTGCAGTGGCATCCCTTCCCCCTCTCCCTTCCCCTCTCCGTCCCCTCCACCCAATACCTTCCCCTCTCCACCCCCTTCAACCTCTCCTTTCCCTTCTCCTCCCACCCCTCCGTCCTCCTCCACCACCTCCTCTCCCACCTTCTCCTCCCCGTCCTCCACCTCCCCAACCTCCTCCTCGTCCTCCTCGTCATCATCATCCAGACCATGCGTTCTAGGGAGCTGATCAGTGAAGCTCCTCTCTAAACCCCTCACCGGCCCCGCTTCCAGTGGTGATGCTGCTGCCAGCAGTGGGGGCGCGAGAACGCCCTGGGATGGGGATCCTCCCAACGTTGCTGCTGCTTGGACTGCAGATGCGTCCGACTCTGCTGCAGTGGATGGAGATGCTTCCAACCCTGCTGCTTGGACAGGGGACGCTTGGATTGCAGGTCTTGGGGGTGGCCCAGCAGAGGAGTGCACGTCAAAGTAGGAAACCACAGCATCGTACGATCTGATGGTGGGTGGGATGGAATAGGCAGAGGTGGGATGGGAAAGAGAAGGAGTGGGATGGGATAAGCAAGGGAAGATAGGCCGAGGAGTGCACGTCAGAGTAGGACACCTCAGCATCGTACGACCTGATGGTGGGTGGGCGAGACGGGGTAGGTAGAGGGGTAAGCCTCCGTGCACCCTGCTTGTGCTGTTGAGTCTTGATTGGGCGGCGTTGCTGAGGTTGGTTAAGCAGAGGAGTGCTGATGATGGGTCCAAGGAGGAAACCGCAGCATCGTACGATCTGATGTTGGGTGGATGGGATGGAATAGGCAGAACGGGGATGGGAAGAGGAAGGGATGCGATAAGATAAGAAGAGGAGGAAGAGACAAAGGAAGGGATGAGGTAGGCAGAGGAGGAGGATAAGCAGGGGGGATGGGATATGCACATATGGGCCGAGGAGGCTGAATGTGGACAAACAGGGAGGACATAGGCAGAGTTGGATTGACTTGCATTGCTTACCTCGCAACCACACACCTCATTTTTAAATGTTCAGCCACATTCCATCCCACTACACCGCACTTCACCGCAGTGCACTCACCTGTGGTGCAGGTACGTCATGAGACCAGCATAGTCGTATCTTGTTGGTCCCAATGATCTGATTACTCTAATGAAAACGCATTGCATTGCAGGTAGCATGTTGTCACATGTTTAGCATATTGACACCTACATCCCTCTGGACCGCGCTTCACCGCAGTGCACCCACCTGTGGTGCAGGTACGTCATGAGCCCAGCATAGTCGTACCGCGCTGGCCCCATCCACCTGAGCCCCTCGCTGCGGCGAATCACATCGCCGTAAAACCCATATCTGAGTGGGGGAACAGGAAGAGAATCAGAAGCAGAAGAAGACAAGGAGGAAAAAGGCAAAGTGGAAGAAGATAGGAGCACTAAACTGGGCTAGCAGCAACAAGTGACTACAGAATAGGCTACGCTCTGAAGGCTCTTCTTGGGTGTGAAGTGCTCTGAACTCAACCACATCACACCACATGCACGCACCCAAAAAAGGACGCAGCATAGCGGACCTCCACACCCTCGTCCTCCTCCTCTTCTTCTGTCTTTGCCTTAGCCCCTTCCGTTTCGCTCCCAGCTCCCCCAGCCTTCTCTCTTCCATCTCCACCCGCAAACCCCTCTCTCACATGCTCCGCTTCTCCTGCTCCCTTGTCCTCCCTGCCTCCACTGCCCGCAATATCTCCACCTCTCTCTGCCTTCCCCCCCTCCTCTTTTTCCTCATCTGATTGCTCGCCTTGCTTCCCTGGCCGCTCCTCTTCCTTCCACGTGGTGATTCTCGCCACGTCCAGTGGCATGCGGTGCCCCAGAACCACATGCAGAGCTGCGGTGGTGGGGTCTCGAGAGCCTGTCACACTGGGGTTGGGAAGAGGGTGAAGACTGGTTTTGGAGTACGGAAAGTGAATGCAAATGCACAAAGGGAGACTCACGCACCCTAATGACACGCTCAAATGCAAATGACATGAAGTGTGCAAACTCACTAGGCATAACACATGATCATGCAACCTCATACGTGCAATTCCCACACTATAATAGAGCGATGTCATACCTCGAAATAGTGCCATCCGTACCTCATGATAATACAATCTGTAGACCCAGCAGGGATGATGCCAATGCGCAGAGCGTGTGGCAGCTGAAGCCCCACGTTCGAGGGGGCACAGTCAGGGGCACACTCAGCTGTCCCTGACTGTGTCCCTGACTGTGCCCCTAACTGTTTCCCTGACTGTGCCCCTGACTGTGCCCCTAACTGTTTCCCTGACTGTGCCCCTGACTGTGCCCCTAACTGTTTCCCTGACTGTGCCCCTGACTGTGCCCCTAACTGTTTCCCTGACTGTGCCCCTGACTGTGCCCCTAACTGTTTCCCTGACTGTGCCCCTGACTGTGCCCCTAACTGTTTCTCTGACTGTGCCCCTAACTGTTTCTCTGACTGCATTGTTGCTTCCACTGCATTCCCACACCCCCTTGCTTCTTCCCTGTCTCCATCCTCCTCGCTGCTCTGCCCTCCGTCACTCCTTGCTCCCAGATTTGCAAACAGACCCTCATTTGCTGCAGCAGCCGCATTGTCAGCAGCAGCAACAGCAGCAACAGGAGCAGCAGCAGCGGCGCCACCAGCATAACCAACCAAACCACGTGGCAGTGCTTCATAGCTAGACTCTTCCAGCAGCACCCGTTTGACCAGACTGCTATTGGTCCTGCCTTGCCGATTCTCTGTTTCTGCCCCTGCTACTGCTGCTGCTGCTGCTGATGCGCCAAGTTTTTGAGGCGAGGAGGAGGAGGAAAAGGAGAGGCGCAAGGGGCGAGCGAGCAACCGAAAGGGAGACAGAGAGGTGAGAGAGTGAGACGCGGAAGTGGGTGGAGATGACTTGACAGAAGAGGGGGTAGCAGAGGAAAGTCCAGCAGGCGACTCAGAAGAGGCGAGTGGGGGTGGTGTGGAAGAGAGAGGGGAGGAGGGAGGGAGGGAGAGGCATGCAGAGGAGAGGCGGGAGGGGTGGATGCAGGGGGGGGCGTGGTGTCGCCTCTTGGCCAGCCCGTTCAGCACCTCGTTGAACAGTCCGTCCCCTCCCTGTTGGGACGGGAGTGGTGAAGGGTGGAGACGAATGGTGTATACTTAGAGGAGTGTGTGGGGTCGTATCGAAAGTCCATTGATTCCATCTCTAAAAAGTCTCTTGGCCAGCCCGTTCAGCACCTCGTTGAACAAGCCGTCCCCTCCCTGTTGGGAGTGGGCCGGGCGGGAGGAGAACGGAGACTGTTTAGACATATTGGAGTGCACCGGATCGTATTGAAGTCCGTCCATTCGTCCTCCCGACCGTCCGTCCGTCCTTCCACCCACCCACCCACCCATCCATCCATCCACCCATCCATCCATCCATCCATCCATCCATCCATCCATCCATCCATCCATCCATCCATCCATCCATCCATCCATCCATCCATCCATCCATCCATCCATCCATCCATCCATCCATCCATCCATCCATTCATCCATCCATCCATCCATCCATCCATCCACCCACCAACCGTTCACCCATCCACCCATCCCCATCCAATGACTCACCACAACCAGAATGCCATCAACGGCTGAGATCTCCTCATCACTCGCCCCATACACGGCATCAAAGGCGTGGTTCTGTCGCTGTGTGACCACCTCGGTAACCGCCACTCCCGCCCGATCAAACACGGGCTTCGCTGCTGCCCACGTCTTGAGCGCCTTGCGGTGGCCACCGATGGGGTTGATGAAGGCCTGACAGTGCGAGGCGGAGAGAAAAGACGAGGAGAAAAAATGGGAAAGTAGGGAAGTGGGGTGAGATCCTCCAACACTGACCACTGCCCACGTCTTGAGCGCCTTGCGGTGGCCGCCAAGGGGGTTGATGAACGCCTGGAGGGTGCGAGGGGGAGAAAGAACAACCAGAAGTTTCATACGAGGAAAGGGACGGGGTAGAGGCGCTAAGAAAACCATTCCATAACTGCTCATGTGTTAGCGCCCTGCAGTGGTCGACTGTTGAAGTTGATGAACGCATGTCAGGATTTGGAACGAAGATTGATCAACGAAGGGAGATGTCAGATCAGGTGGAAGTGAAACAAGGTATCTTGCATTCAGGCAGAACAGGCTAAGTCGATAAAGGACAAGACAAGACAAGCACCTCACCTCATATAGCCTCACCACCAGACATCATCATCACTCCAGCACCCATGTTCACCTTTTCAGCACCCATGTTCACCTCTTCATGACCCATTGTCACCGCACCAGCAGGTTCCGGGGCCGTTCAGGGTCCGCCCTGAGAAGTGATTGGATGGAATCGACCCACTGCTGACACACGCTGACATCGGCATGACTCAGCACGAGCTGCACGGGCGTCCACCTGTCGGCAGCCTTTCGGAATGTATGGATGGCGAAGCGATGCAGCTGCAGATATGAGAAATAACGGGAAATGGTGGAGGGAGAAAGTCTGTTTTGAGGTGCCTAAAAAAAAGAAAGTAGGATGACCATGCGATGCAGCTGCAGTTGTGAGAAAAAAATGGGGAACGAGGGAGAGAAGGAATATCAGAAGGTATTCGCCTCAAAGGTATGGCACGGGAAAAGGGAGAAGGACGGTTGGCCTGTCATGGCCCAATGATAAACACCAATCGGAACATACAAGGAACGATCTTGAGAACAATCTATAACTCACTCTAACTGCTGGCCCTAAGAGGCTCCCTTTCACCACGGCCTCATCCAATCTCTCCACGGCGTAGATCTCCGCCATGGATACGCGTTTCGCCCTTCCAGACGCCTCCCTCTGTGGGCTTCCGGCCTTGCCTTGCGCGGCCTGGCGCAGGAAGACAGGAAACGGAAGACACGGTTCAAGGGGATTATTGCGTAGAGTTGAAGGTTACTTCTTTTGAGTCGACTCACAAGGCTTCCCGCCTTGCCGTGTGCGGCCTGGCCCAGGAAGACAGGCAACGGACGACACGGTTGAGACAGGTTGAGGCGCCTGAGGAAAAACGCGTCTCGCAATTCCATACGCGTCCCTCTGCGGGCTCCCCGCCTTGCCGTGTGCGGCCTGGCCCAGGAAGACATGCAACGGATGACATGGTTCAAAGGGCTAATTGTTGAGGCGCCTGGAAACATAACATCTGTCGCTCTTCTAGACGCCTCTCTCTGCGGGTTCCCCGCCTTGCCAACAGCCAAAATCCAGACAGGCAAGAAAAGAGATCATCCCAATGGGATGATCGCGGAAGCGAGCTGAGGAGTGTTTGGAAAATAGCGGATGATTTCGCGTACAGCTAGGTGCGATCGTTCGCCGTCCACGGCACGAGCGTTGGGTCGATGAACGAACGTGGGTGAATCCGACGTAATGTATCCACTAGCAGTACTTACACGGGACAGCTGACTGTGACGTACCGAGTCCCATTTCAGATCGCACTCCGGAAACGAAGGCTGGGTGTGAGATTCTGTGCAGCTCCGACGCCTAATTTCTGAAGGGTGACAGTCCAACGTCTAGATCCTGTGCTTCGTCAGACGATGACTCCTCATACGAGATGACCATGTAACTGACGCCTGACTAGATTTGGAAACCCTCAGCAGCTACCGTGTCAAATGATGGCGTGGAACGAGATGACTATGTGATGACGGCTGACTATGATATCACGATCAGCTGATACCTTGTCAATTGACGGCTTGGTACGGCGCCGGACGAAGGCTTTATACGAGATGGCTATGTAACTTACGCTTGACTAGATATGAAGCTACCTTGTCAGACGACGGCTACCTTATCTCACGCCGGACTAGATTTTTGGTGCTACCTTGTCAGACGACGGCTTGGTGCGGCGCCAGACGACGGCATTCTCGAGGAGCACGACGCGAAAGTCGCCGGAGTTCGGAATCAGAAAGTCGCCTTCAAGCAACTTGCGACAGCCTCCACCATGGTTCTCCGCAACGCTAATTCGAGGCTTTTCGCCGTTTTCCATTCCTCTTGCTACAGAAGGATCTGGTCCTAGCCGAAATAGGCAGGGACACACAGAGAACAGATATCTGGTGAACTGACCGCGAGAATGCAAGATCGACGGAATCCCCTAGCCCTTCCAGCCTAGAATCATATTCCTTTGCTGGAAATGGTCCAGCAAGTCTCCATTGTCAAGCAGCAGAACAGAATGACATTCGCCGTCGTGTTTGGAGGAAATGGAATGGAACGACATGCCCAAAGCAGCTCGGATTTCCCAGCGCAGATTGAGCAGCAGGTTTCAAGGGTGACATGTCTAGCCCAGACGCTGTTGATTGGCCCTCAGTCCGCAAATGAATACCCGAGGTTTCGCGGATCCCTGAGATTTTACCGAAGGATTAGTGTTCACTTCGCTAAGATGATTCTGATCTCATCTTCCTTATTTCGTCATCCATTATAGAATACCACCCACCGTTGCTCTAGATCTAGCTAGTGCACTGTGCGTGCTCTATTCTCTCCGCTAAAGAGATGTAGATGTCTATAGAGGGTTGGTTCGTTCAAAGGAGGTAGATCCAAATATATATTATACCAACAAAAACATGCAAATGCACATTGGCTTTCCATGTGCAACTGGCCAAGGGGAAGATGCAAAGCAAAATCCGGAAGACATGACATGAAACTTGAACCAGGAAAAGTGACTGCAAGTGTCAAATGTTATAGCCTTTAGTGGGTCATGCTATATGGGGTAAAAACAGTTAGGGTTAGGTACTTGTACCCCAAACAACCAATGCAACTCATTCCGCTGTAGCCACTTTCTAAGATGGTATCAGCTAGGTTCCTCGCTCCTAGGCCCTAGGTTAGTTCCCTAGCTCGCCAGACACGCCAGCGCGCTGAGTCCTAAGCCGCCAGCCAGCCAGCCAGCCAGCTGCCCCCTAGCGCGCCACGCCGCCGGCGACCTGCAGCGCGACCCGTCCCCTAGCCACCGCGCCAACCTTCCGTAGGCCCGCACGTCGCGCTGCCCGTAGGCCTGCCCGTAGGCCCGCCCGTAGGCCCGCGCGTCGCGCTGCCCGTAGGCCCGCGCGTCGCGTCGCCTAGCCGCGCAGCCCGGCCGTAGGCCCGCCCGTCGCCTCACCCGCCCGTAGGCCTGCCCGTCGCCTCGCCCGCACGTAGGCCCGCCCGTCGCCTATAACGCCCGTAGGCCCGCCCGTCGCCTAGCCCGCCCGTCGCCTCGCCGCGCAGCCCGCCCGTCGACCCGCCGCGCCGCCCGTAGGCCCGCGCGCCGCGTCGCCTGTCCATCGACCAGCTGCGCAGCCCGCCCGTCGACCCGCCGCGCCGCCCGCCACCCAGTACGCCGCGCCGCACGCCCCATAGCGCGCCGCGCCGCCCACCAGCCAGCGCACTGCGCCGTCCACCTACCCACCTGCATGCCTCCCCGCCTGCCCACACGTTACTGACTGTCTCCCCCCTCCCGCGGCTGGCAGCCGCGCTCTCTCAGTTTCGCCCCCTATGGCGACCTCCCGAGTACTTCGTTTTGACCCTGAGGGGAGACCTATTGACTTTAGTACGTGGCTTACGCAGGCGCAGCGCCACCTTAAGAGCCAGCGGCAGGATGGCGTGCACCTGTTCGCACACGCGTCCGGCACCCTGACCGCCCCTCTCCAGCCTCGGCCGCTGCCCACTACCCCACCGCCTACTTCTGAGCAGGAGGCCGACTACCAGCGCCAGCTCCTCGCTCGTGACGTGTGGGAGTCTCGTGACGCCGCTGCCTGCCTCGCCCTGACCGACCTTCTCCCGCCGACAGAGGCAGTCCACTTCGCTCAGGTCGAGTCTGCTGCAGATCTGTATAAGGCTATTATTGCTCGCTACTCCACTCCCTCCTCTGCTTCGCTCAGTCGCCTCCTCGTACCCTTTATCTACCCTGACCTCGCCTCCTTTGAGACTGTCTCTGACCTCGCTACCCACCTGCGCTCCCTTGATGCTCGCTTTCGCGCTGCTTGCACTGAGGACCAGCTTGCCCTTGCCCCACCCCCTATGTGGCTCACTATTCACTGGCTAGTCACTCGCCTCCCTGACCGCCTAGCCACAGCCCGCGACGCGCTTCTTCTGAAGCACCCCACTGAGCTTACCATCGATCTTCTTGAGACTGCTCTCTCGAAGATCGAGAGCAACCTCCTCACTGTTGCCTCTGCCTCTTCCGCGCCTCCTCCTCGTCTTTTTGAGGGGTGTGTGGTACCACAGCTTCCCACCTTCTCTGCCTCACTTGCCACCCCTACGTCTTCTGCCTCTGAGGAGACGGCAGCTGTTTCTGTCTCTGGCGGGCAGAAACGTGGCAAGGCTGGTAAGAGGGGCGGGAAGGGCGGCGGGGGTACTGGAGGTGGTGCGGGTAGTGGCGGTGGCGGTGGAGCAGGAGGTGGGAGTGGTGGTGGAGGTGGCTCGGGACCTGACGGCCCTCCTTTCGACGGTGGAGTTTTCACTGGTGGTGAGGGGTCCCAGCAGCAGCAGCAGTCGACTCCTCAGCAGCTGCCACCGCCTGGACAGCAGCAGCGGCAGGGACAGCAGCAGCAGCGACAGGGCCAGCAGCAGCGCCCGCCACAGCAGCAGCCCCAGCAGTGGGGCCCTCCGCAGCAGTGGGGCCCTCCGCAGCAGTGGGGCCCTCAGCAGCAGTGGAGGTCTGCGGGTCCCCCGAGCACTGGGCGCAGTGGCCCCCCCTCCAGTCGGGGACCTCGCTCGGCCGGCCGCGACGTTGGTCCCTGTGAGTACTGGATCCTTACGGGTCCTCGTCGGGACTCGTACTGTGGCCGCCCCGACCACTCTGCTGCACGCTGCTTCAGTCGTCTCGACGACCTCTACGTCTTGCACCACGGCCCCTCCGCTCCCCCGCCGCCTCGCTGGGGGATGCTTCTTGCTCGTGGTATTGCTGTTTTTTATATGACGATGGATGATGCTAGGTCATATGCCATGTATGCTGATGTTGACTATAGTGCTCATGGATCTGTGTACTTGCCTGTACCTAGCTTTGGATCTTTGCCTGTTGCTAGAGTAGGTGCTAGTGTAGGATCTTGTTTAGCTACTAGTACAGGTTCTCCCTCGGCGGACGCCTCTCTCTCCTTCACACTGGACTCTGGAGCGTCACACTGCTTCTTCCGCGACTGCACGACTCTCTCTCCGCTACCGGCGCCTGTCCCTGTAGCACTGGCCGATCCCTCTTCGGGACCGGTCATTGCGACTCACGCCACTACACTCCCGTGCCCAGCTGCTCCTTCCGGTTCCCTGACTGGCCTCCACGTTCCTTCGTTCTCTAGGAACCTGGTTGGTGTGGGCACCCTGGCGAGACAGCACGTCGGGGTCTGGGTTGAGCCTTCTGGTGACACCGCAGTCTGTGTGGACGGTGACACGTACGCCCCCTAGGCCACTTTTCGCCAGGAGCCGGGCTCCGGTCTGTACACCCTCCGCACCGACCCCCGTCAGGTTCCCCCGTCCCACCAGGTAGCCGGGTCCAGTCAGGTTGCTGTGTCAGGTGTAGTTGCTGCTTCGTGCTCGTGTCGGTCGCTTGCCCACCCCTCCCTCCTCTGGCACCACCGCCTTGGTCACCCTTCCCTCCCTCGTCTCCGCGCTATGTCCAGTCAGCGTCTTGTCTTAGGCCTCCCCCGAGTCCTCCCGCCACTCCCGCCGTCCCCAGCTCCTCCGTGCGGTCCTTGTGTCCAGGGTCGGCTGCGCGCCACCCCTCACTCCTCCTCCCTTCGTCCGGCCACCGAGCCCTTCCAGACTCTCTACTTAGACGTCTGGGGCCCCGCTCCCCGTCTTGGCCCTCAGCGGGAGAGTTTCTTTCTGGTGGTCGTTGACGACTACTCTCGGTACACTACCGTGTTTCCTTTGGCGAAGAAGTCCGACGTGACTTCTACGCTGATCCGGTGGCTCCTCGCCACCGAGGGCACTCGCGTTTGTCGTGTCAGTTGTCTTCACTCCGACCGTGGGGGTGAGTTTCGCTCCGGCATTCTCGCCAGATCCTGTGCTGAGCAGGGCATCACCCAGTCCTGGACTCTTCCAGACTCTCCACAGCAGAATGGGGTTGCTGAGCGCCGCTTAGGCCTGGTCATGGAGATCGCCCGCACCTCCATGATCCACGCCCACGCGCCCCATTTCCTGTGGCCCTACGCGGCTCGGTACGCCGCTCACCAGCTGAACCTCTGGCCTCGCGTCTCTCGGCCAGGGGCTTCACCGACCAGTCTTTGGACAGGGTCCCCTGGTGTTGCGTCGAGATTTAGTGTCTGGGGCTGCTTGGCTCTTGTCCGCGACACCTCTGCGGACAAGATCTCGCCTCGCGCTGTCCCCTGTGTCTTCCTTGGTTTCCCAGAGGGCTCCTCTGACTTCACCTTTTACCACCCTCCCTCCCACCGGTTCTTTGACTCTCGTGACGTCCGTTTCGACGAGTCCGTCCCCTACTACGTCCGGTACCCCTGTCGAGGTCTCCCGGTTCCCCCCCCTCCCCTCTTCCTGGCTCCAGCTCCTCCTCCTCCCGCCCCTGCTCCTCCGTTACCCCCCCCTGTCCCCGCTCCTTCTGGTGTGTCCCACGCTACTCCCCCCCCCTCGGTTCCCCCCCACGTCTCTCCTCCTTCCCCACAGTCGTCCTCACAGCCTCCGCAGCAGCCGCCGGCGCTTCCTTTACCGGCCACTGCGGACTCTGAGGGTGTTGGTGCTCGAGGTGAGGGCTCTAGGGGTGCTCGCTCTAGGGGTGCTGGCGTTGGACCTGTTTGTACACCTACAGGAGCAGCCCGTTCTGGGGGTGTTGGCGTTCGCGCTGAGCGTGCACCTGCCGCAGCTGCCCGTTCTGAGGGTGCTGGAGCTGGTGGTGCTTCTGGAGCTGGAGAGTCTGGGGCTGGTGCTGGTGCCACTGGGGGCACCACGACTGGGGGTGCGGGTGCGCCTCCTACTGGTGCTGGTCGTGCTGCCGCGGGAGGTACTCGCTCTGGGGGTGCTCAGCCGGGTACTGCTGCGGACGGAGCCGGTTCTTCTGCTGCGTCTCCTGACACCACTCCTCCTCCTCACCCCTACCCGACTCGTTACCAGACCCTTCTTCGTCTTGAGCGTGAGGAGCAGCAGCGTTTGGAGCGTGAGAGGTCGGAGGTTCAGCAGCGGGTGGAGCGTGAGCGGTTGGAGTTGCAGCGGGAGGAGCAGCAGCAGCAGCAGCAGCAGCAGCCGCCGCCGCAGCAGCAGCCGGAGCAGCCTCCGGCTCCTGTTTCTGGCCTTCGGGCCCTTGGTCTCCCCTCCTCTCCTCCCGTGTTCGGTCCTACGTTTCCTCCTCTGGACTCAGCTCCAGCTGTGTTCCCTCGTTCTCAGTCTCCTCCGTCTCCCCCTCCACTCGCCCACACTTGGACCTCTCGTCCTCCTCGTGCTCGTCCCTCGTCCCCTGTCACTGACCTCCGTACCGCTTTGTTTCGTTCTTGTCCTCCTCGTCCTCCTCAGTCTGTTCTTCCTCGTCCTCCTGAGTCGTCCCTCACTGCCTCCCTGTCGACTCCGGTCTCTGACTACTACCGCACGTACCGCCCCACTCTCTCTCGTGTTCTCGCCTCTCTTGTTACAGACCCTCGTGCCTCTCCTTCCTCCGTCGCGGTCCTCACTGCCGCTGTCACTGACTTTACTGCTACACGTCGCCTTGACTACGCCACTCGTGTTGTGGCCGCTCCTCCTGTCCATCCTCTGTCCGCCGGGGGTGAGTCTGCCCTTGGCTGTGACGTCCTAGAGGACAGACAGTTTGAGCTAGAGTTCCTGGCAGCTGCTTCGCCTCATCTCTGTGCCATGCTCCTCGCTCCTGAGGGAGACCCCGACGCTCCTGACATACCTACTCCTCGCACTTACGCTGAGGCAGTATCAGGGCCTTGGGCCTCTCAGTGGAGAGCTGCCATGGACGCAGAGATGGCCTCCTACAGGTCCACAGGCACTTACGTTGACGAGGTTTCCCCCCCAGGGGCGAACATCGTTGACGGCATGTGGATCTTCAAGGTGAAGCGGCCGCCGGGATCTCCCCCAGTTTTCAAGGCACGCTACGTGGCTAGAGGGTTCAGTCAGCGTGAGGGAGTTGACTTCATTCAGACCTTCGCGCCCACCCCGAAGATGACCACTCTTCGGGTGTTACTGCACGTAGCAGCGCAGAGGGACTACGAGCTACACTCTCTTGACTTCTCCACTGCCTTCCTCCAGGGCCGCCTACACGAGGAGATCTGGCTGCGTTGTCCTCCGGGCTTCACTGGCACTTTCCCGCCAGGGACCCAGTGGAGCCTCAGACGACCGGTCTACGGTCTCCGCCAGGCACCCCGTGAGTGGCACGACACTCTCCGCTCGACTCTCTCCGACCTCGGGTTTGAGCCGTCTTCCGCCGACCCGTCGCTGTTTGTTCGTCGTGGGCGCACACCTTTCTTCGTTCTCGTCTACGTTGACGACCTGGTTTTTGCCACAGCTGACACAGTTGTACTGGCGGAGGTGAAGTCCGAACTGCAGAAGAGACACACCTGCACTGACCTTGGGGAACTGCGCCACTACCTTGGCCTGCAGATCTCCAGGGACAGAGCCGCTCGCACCATCACTCTGACTCAGTCACACAGGGTGCAGCAGGTCCTTCAGCGGTTTGGGCTTCAGCACTCTTCCCCTACACCCACCCCTCTTGCTGTAGACCACAGACTCACTGGGCCTTTTCCTGACGAGCCGTTCGAGCCCAGTGGTCCCTACGCAGAGCTGGTGGGTTGCCTCATGTACCTGATGACGTGTACTCGCCCGGACCTCGCCTTCCCTCTTAGCATCCTTTCTCGCTTTGTTGCGACTGGGAGACACCGTCCTGTTCACTGGGCGGCGGCTAAGAGGGTGGCGAAGTACCTCGGCGCGACATCAGACATGGGGCTTGTACTTGGAGGGACACAGCCAGTTGTACTCACCGGTCACTGCGACTCCTCCTACGCCGACGACGTTGAGACTCAGAGGTCTACACAGGGTTACTGTTTCAGCCTGGGCTCTGGAGCTGTTTCGTGGAGGTATACTCGGTCCTCCTCTGTTGCGACTTCTACCGCAGAGGCCGAGATCTACGCTGGAGCCCTTGCTGCTCAGGAGCTACGCTGGTTGACCTTCTTGCTCACTGACCTTGGTGAGCGGCCGAGCTCTGCACCGACCTTGTTTGCTGACAACAAGGCGATGATTCTCCTGTGTCGTGAGCCTCGACTGGAGAGCAGAGTGAAGCACATCGACGTCAGGTACTTCCTCCTTCGAGAGTTGCAGCGACGCGGACAGGCTCGTCTGGACTTCGTGGCCTCCGAGGCCAACACTGCAGACATCTTCACCAAGGCTCTTCAGCCTTGTGACCACCGCCAATTTTGTCTGCAGTTAGGTCTCGTTGAGACTGGGTCTAGTAGACTGCAGTAGTGATTTCTTGCCTCTTGTGTGTGTGTAACATATATATATTAGCTTATACTCTCTTGAACTGGCCTTGTGGCCCCTTGTTTGTGCTCAGACTGTGTGGTGACGTTGTGATCCACCCTGAGCTTTGTTTCCTCTCTTGCTTGCGACTGGTCTTGTGACCTTAGGTTGCGTTCTTGTTACTTGGCATTCCCCACTTAGGCTATGGGGGTGTGTCAAATGTTATAGCCTTTAGTGGGTCATGCTATATGGGGTACAAACAGTTAGGGTTAGGTACCCCAAACAATCAATGCAACTCATTCCGCTGTAGCCACTTTCTAAGAGCAAGGACAGCACCGAGTGTCCCACAAGCAGAAAACAACCTCTGGCTTGGCAAAAGAGAGCACCCCCCCCTCCCCCCAGTAGCTTACATGGGCACTACTGTTTGTCACGGAGGAAAACATATGGCATATTCACCATTGTATGTACAAACAAAGCTCCAATACCGGCCACCTTTTCATCCAATGAGCTCCTTCGACAGTACGTACAAACGTAGCAAGCCATCTGCAACGGCATCTGAAAGCTCCCTCTGAAAATACACAAAAGAGGAAAGGAAGGAGCGAGGGATCTGGATGAGAAGGGAGTGGATACTACAGGTATGCAACCATGTAGCCCAAGACCAATAGTGGACAACAAAGGCTGGGTAACCAAATTCTTGATCATCTCTCTTCCCTTCCCTTCCACCCTTCATACATATTGTGCTGCAACGTACCATGCTGCAAGTGACACATACCGTGCTGCAGGTGACACTTGAAGGACCCAAAAGCAGATTCCAGTCGCTAGAAGCAGCAGCCAGGCCTGCCCTTTCGGACAGCCCTCCCCTCTCAGCCCAAGCCGCCGCACCACCCACCACCTCCTCCTCTTGCTCCTCCTCTTTCCTCCTTTCCCCCCTCCTAAGCTGCTTCCTCTTTCGCTTCCTCTTCCGCAGCCTGTGAGAGTCCCCGCTGCTGTTTGTCCCCTCCTTGTCACTCTCCCTCGCTCTATCGCTCTCGCTCTCCCACTCCCTCTCCCTCTCACCCTCATCTGAGTTTCTGTCCTCGTCAGAAGATGCTTCACTATCAGTCATATCCGTTCCATCGCTAGAAACAGGGGAGGAGGAGGAGGAGGAGGAGGTATCATCACTGCTACTCTCATTCCTCCGCCTCCTCTTCCTCTTCTTCCTCTCTCTTCTCTCCCGCCTCTTGCTCCCCCTCTTCCTCCTCTTGCCACTCACCCTACCCCCTCCGCGTCTCACCTTGCCACGCCTACCCTTCTTCTCCTTCTTCCTCTCCCTCTTCCTCCCTCTCTTCTCACCGCCTTCCCCATCGCCCACCCTCTCAACCCCACCCTCCCCGCCCACCCCACCCATCCCCCCCTCACCTCCTCCCCTCTCCACAGCAACACCTAAGCGCCTCAACATCACCCCCACAGCCTCGTCGGCCCCCGCCATACATCCCATCCCTGCTGTATTACCATCATCCATCCCCGTGTGCCCTCCATCTAGCCCCATACTCGCCATAAGATGCGCTCTAACCATCCACGTGCCAACCACCACCTCAATCCCTGCCATGCTCTCCTCCCCTCTTTCCCACTCCCTCCCCCTCCCCCTCTCCTTCTCCCTCTCCCTCTCCCTGTCTCTCTCCCTTTCCTCGCCCATCTGACTTCCCTCTCTCTCCTTCCCCTCTCTTTCCCCCCCACCACTTTCCAGAACATAATCCAATAGCTGCTTGCCAGGTGGCTCCTCCACAGAGGTGGCAAAGCAACCGCGCAGCACCGCAGTCAACTCCTCCCGCTCGTCCGCCCACTCAGGCTCCCGGAGCAGCAGCAGTGCAGTCTGCCTGCCGTGGCACGCACAGGCCACGAGGAGGAGCAGGCGCTCGAATGAAGAGAGCGACAATAGAGAGGGGAGTGACGTGAGATAGTCTGCCTTCACGTCTCTTCCCCCTCTGCTACTCCTCTCCTCGTCCTTCACTCTCCTCTCCCTCCTCTCCTTCTCTCTCTTGCTCTCCTCTCTTCTCTCCCCTCTCTCCCCTCTGCTCCTCTCCTCGCCTCCATCCCAGCACACCCCAACAAGCACCTCCTCTAACAGCCCCCCTTGCGTCTCTACCTGCTCCATCCTCTCTCCCATCTTACTCTCCCTCTTCCTCCCCATTCTCCCTCCCCTGTCCCTTTCCCTCTCCCTTTCATCCCCCCTCTCCCTCTCGTCCTCTCTCTTCCTCCCATCCCCCCTCCTGTCCGCCCCTCTTCCTTCCTCCCATCTCCTCCCCTGCGCCCATCGCCACACCCCCCGACCAACACCCTCCAGCCCCACTTCCCCTGCACCAGCCAGCACCCGAGAGCACAGCACAGCCCAGTCAACCGAGTCAACAAAGTCTTCTACCAACTCATACACCAATTCATATACCAGCTCTCTTCCTTGTCTCCCTCTCCTTTCCTCTGGGATTCGCATTTGCATTTTCGTTTGTACTCCCTCCTCCCTTCTCCACCCCTCCCTTTCCCCCACGTCCCTCCCCTCACGCTCCCTCCTCTCCATTCTCTCCATTCTATCCCTCTTCACTGTGTGTAAAACTTCCTCTACTCCTTCCTCCCACTCTCTTCTCCTCCTCTCATCTTCCATCTCCCTTATAAGCCGCCTCATCAACTCCTCTACAAAAAATCCAATATCCAGTGACAAGAACGCGCCATCGCGTAACGTTTTCCGAAGCTCGTGAGACGACCAGAACTCAGGCACCTCCCGCAAAAAGTTTTTCATGGTGCGCGAGATGTCCAACTCGCAGAAGTAATGCGGCCGGGCAGCCACATTAACTGGTGTTTGTGCATGCTTCCCTGCCCATACCAACCGGTGCCAATGCTCCTCCCGATGTGCAAACGCAAACTCGGCCAAGGCTTGCGCGCCGAACCTGTGGTTCCGAACCAGAGCGCGGGTCGGCAAGACAAGCCGGCCCGAACCTGGACTGTTCCGCTGCAGAGCTTCACCAGCTGCTGCCGACCCTGCCAACTTGGTGTGGGCCGAACCAGAACCAGAACCAGCATAGGCAGTAGCAGCATAGGCGCTTGGTCTCTGCTGTTCCCTGCTCCTCTCCCCCTCTTCCCCCCATCTGCCCCCTTGACTGCCAGGCCCCATACTGAAATGGTCGAACCACAAGAGAATGCGGTGAGGATTGGCTGTAGGGGGGGGGATGGGGGTTGGGTTGGTGGAGAGAAAGTGAGGCATGGGAGCAGGAGAGGGGTGAGGAGAAGGTAATAGAATAATGAGAGGAGAGGATTGGCTCACTTCTACCAGAGTTGACTTGCTTTGACTCGCATTGTCACACCCTGACTGGATTGACTCGCTTTGACTCACGTTGACTCGCGTTGACTCACCAGCAAAGAACGAGCGGATGAGGTCAGGGTCATGCATCAGCAGCCGGGCGGCATCTTTCGGCCCTTCCTCACACAGCAGTTGCAGCAGCTGACGCAGCAGCGAGCAGTCAGAGGCGCCTGAGAAAGACTTGGAGGGGTTTGGGGTTGGGAGCAGCGGGGGGAGGGGAGGAGATCGTTCGGCCTTTCCTCACACAGCAGATGGCGCAGCAGCGAGCGGTCAGAGGCGCCTGGGGACGACTTGGGGGGGTTTGGGGAGGGAGGGGGAAGGGGAGGGGCATGGGAGAGGTGTGGGGGTGTGGGGGCGTAAAGTGGGGAAGGAGAGGCATGAGCGGATTAAGAGAGCTGTCAGAGGCATGGGGGTGTCCCGGGGTAGAGGCGCACTTTTCCGCCCGGCCTTACCAGGGTCGAGCGATCCGCTGCGCGCCACGAGCTGGCAGACAAGCGCGCGGCGCAGCGCGGGCGGGAGCTGCACGCGACCGATTAGCGCCGCGAGCCACGTGCACGCCTCGCGCCGGTTGCTCGGATCGCGCAACAGCACGCGGCGCAAGATCGCCGCGACGGCGTCCACGGCGCCGCGGAATGTGTCCATCGGCGCGCTTTGATTCGCGAAACGGTGGGCCTGCTTGCGACGACTCAATAAGACTCCATCGGTGAACTCTGTGGTGGCGAGACACTGCGAGGTGCCGCGAGTAGCGCGAGCGGACAGAGCTTGGGGGAGCTTCAAGGGATGAGCTGCGGCGCGTGCCTACTATCCAATGAGCGAGAGAGAATGACTCCAGTGGCCAACATGGTGATTCACCATCCCTCGCGTTCATTTATACACAATTTCCTATATGATCCCGCCAATCATATACTAAAAACACTCTGGCCTCGTATTAAGGCCATTTGGTGATACTGAAATTGCGTGATCCGTAAATATAAAAACGTTCTACTTAAACAATGGTATACATGCGTAGATCCTGACATGAGATGCCAATAGATACATATGCATAGCAACCCTCCGCCTCTGCATGCCACATGAAAGGTGTTCACAGTGTTATATAGATTAACGGCAAAACAAAACTCAGGACAGTAGCTACGACGTACCAAATATACTCAGTGATAATTTTTTTATGGATGTTTTGTGTAGGTTTTATAAGCTCCCTAAGCATTACCAAATATGCGCGGACATAAAGGTTATTGCGCGGTCTTATATGATATATGACTGCGACTTTGTTTGGACGTTCTTTGATTGGACGCGCAATGTCAGGCCATATCCTGCGAACAAGATCAACCAATCACGCGCGGTCATCCAATTTCTCGCGCACCGACGGCCGATCATTTCAGTATATGATCGGGAATTATACGATGACACGTGATTGGACGCGCATATCACCTGACCAATCGAGCGCGGTTGATTTTGCTGGATCGGTTCGTTTCGGGGTCAAAGGCAGTATATGATTGCGAAGTCATATGCTCGATCGCTGATTGGATGTTAATCAGATTTATCGCGCGCTCATTGGCCGCGCATTTGGCCGAAACTGACCGGTCAATATACTGTTGGTCAATGTACAGTGAGCGGGCCACTTTCGCGTCCGTGAGCCTGGCGAAATTTGCGGGTGCAAAACAGAACGGAACACTACCTAAGGATAACCCTCGCACGAATGGGGAATTTCGGGGCTACAAAGCCCCGTAGGGTAATGCGCCGAAGAAAAAAAAGCCAGGTAGAATCGCCTGGCGTGGCCACTCGAGTCATTATCACCAAATTTGGTGGCCACTCGAGTCATTCGTGGCCACGCGAGGGATGGTGAATCACCTTATTGGCCACTGGAGTCATTCTCTCAATGAGCGAGTGGCCATCTTCGCACCAGAATTTGTTGTGCACCGTCACATTACGCAGTTACCAAGTCTGGTTATGGCGAGTTTGATATGTCTCCATACGCTCTAACAGCAACCTACCAACTGCGGTAGTGCATCAAGCTATTCGGATTATGAGCTGAAACCGATAATAAGATACTTCAACCAGTGTACTGCGGTAACAAAATCCTCAAAGCACTGCTGTTTTGTGTGTGTATATATATTTTTTGTTTAAGATACTTGACTTGTGAAGTATATTGAGTATTGTCTGTCAGAATGTTATTATCTAGCCTGTAGTGGGGTGCTCTATAGCGGGTACAACCCAGTTAGGGTTTGCTATATGTATCCCAATTGCTGCTAGTGAAACCTCCCTTTTCTGTTTCTAACTTTTCGTACTGCCTAATTATGACATGGTTTCAGAGCAGGTCGACCCCCTTGGGTCGATCCTGTGGGTGGGCCCACCACCTAACTGCTTCCGCTGCTACTCTGTCTGTTGCACGCCCCGTGGCGTGCGACGCCTTCTTCCTGCCGTGCGCTCGGGGCGCGCGGCGGTTTTCTGCCCGCCGTGCGCCCCGAGGCGCGCGGCGGTTTCCTGCCGTGGGGGACCCGCGCGCAGCCCCCCGCCCTTCCCGTCGCGTCGCCCTGCAGGCCGTGCGCGGGCCTGCAGGCCGCGCGCGGCCCGCGTCGCGCGGCCTTGGGGACCCGCGCGCGGCCCCCGCCCTGCTCGTCGCGGCGCCCTGGGGAGCACGCGCGGCCCCCGCCCTTCTTGTCGCGGCGCCCTGGGGAGCCGCGCGCGCCCCCCGCCCGTCCGTCGCGGCGCCCTGGGGAGCCGCGCGCGCCCCCCCCCCCCCCCCGTGCTGCCCATTCCTCCCGTGCCGCCGTGCGTTCCGCGGTGGTAGGGGGTGTGGGGTGGCGAGCATGGGGGTGCGCGGTGTGGGTACTCCCCTTCCCTCTCCCCACCTCCTTGTTCGTCTCCCACTGCTGCAGCTGCTGCTGAGGGGGGTGGAGGTGTGGGAGCCGAGGGGAATGGCGCTAGGGGGGTGACATGGGAGTGGAGTTAGGGGTTCAGCAGGGGATGTGTGTCAAGGGTGTGGGTCAGTTGGAGGAGGTTGTGTGGAGGTAGCTGTCGTGTCGCCTGCAGCGCCTGTAGTCCGTCGCCCTTGCTTCGGTAGCCAGTGAGCCTGTTGCACCAGTCGCCAGTGGATCCGTTGCTCCTGCCGCTCGTCTTAGCCGCGGAAACAGTCACTCCAGTAGTCCGTCGCCCTTGCTTCGGTAGCCACTGAGTCAGCCGCTCCTGTGCCCGTGCCTCTGCAGCTTCAGTCGTTGCCTCCCATCTTCTCTCCTTCCACAGTTCCTCCTCCTCCTCACTTGCCCGCTGTGATTACCTCTAGCTTTGCTTATTATTGTGAACTCCTACTATGCCTGCTCATTGTGCTGATTACACCCCACTTTGGCTATGGGGGTGTGTCAGAATGTTATTATCTAGCCTGTAGTGGGGTGCTCTATAGCGGGTACAACCCAGTTAGGGTTTGCTATATGTATCCCAACTGCTGCTAGTGAAACCTCCCTTTTCTGTTTCTAACTTTTCGTACTGCCTAATTATGACATTGTCTTTTGGCATGAAGTTATTCAAAATAAGCTCTAGTTGGAGAATTGAAGATATGAACATGCGTGTCTATATTGGAAACATGGTAGCAATTCAATAGGTTTTAATCGCCTTAGCTAATAAAGAGATGCCTTTAATCAGCTGGTTTTCATGCACGCCACGAGCACACACAGCAAAAAACAGCGCACACACAGGCAAAATCCAGCGCGCACAGGCAAAAACTAGCAAAATCCTGCGCGAACACTGGCATGATCAAGCAAAATCCATGGCACACACAGGTGAAATCAGGCGAAGAAGATATAAATAAAGAAATTGATGATGTACGAAAAGAGAAAGGGCGACGGGACGGTTGATTGGTCGACGGCGAAGAGAAGGGACTGGGGACAAGGGGGCTGACGGGAGAGGAGGGGAGAGAGGGGTAACGACGGGATGGGAGGGGAGAAGGGAAAAACGACGGGATAGGAAGGAAGAGAGGAGGAACGACGGGATGGGAGGGGAGAGAGGAAGAAAGACGGGATGGGAGGGTAGAGCAGAGGAACGACGGGATGGGAGGGTAGAGAGGAACGACGGGATGCGGGGAGGGAAGACAGATTGTGAGGGGAGGGAGGAAGGGCGCGGAGAGGGCATTGCATAGCAAGAGCGAAGGGCGGATTGGCCGACGATGGAGAGCGTTTCAGAGATTAATGATTGGGGAGAAGAGACGAAAGGCGATGGGAAGGCATTTCGGGACGAGCACGAGGGCGACGAGGTCGGTGATGGGAAGGGAGAGAGGAAGGGCGCGGGGAGAGCGTTTGAGTGCGAGCGCGAAGGCGACCAGGCAGGCGATGGGAGGAGAAAGTGGGCGGGGGACGAGAAGGCGATGGGGTGGGTGATGGTGGGTGGGAGAGGAATTTGCGACGGCTGCATCTAAGGCTACGAGAAGGGAGGGGAGAGAGCAAGAGCGACGGCAAGGGAGGGGAGAGAGATAGAGCGACGGTAAGGGAGGGGAGAGAGATAGAGCGACGGGATGGGAGGGGAGAGAGATAGAGCGACGGAAAGGGAGGGGAGAGAGATAGAGCGACGGAAAGGGAGGGGAGAGAGATAGAGCGACGGGAAGAGAGGGGAGAGAGATAGAGCGACGGGAAGGGAGGGGAGAGAGATAGAGCGATGGGATGGGAGGGGAGAGAGATAGAGCGACGGGAAGGGAGGGGAGAGAGATAGAGCGACGGGAAGGGATGGGAGAAGGCGATTGCAACGGAAAGGGAGCAGCGAGAGAGAGAGCGACGAGAAGGGAGAGGAGAAGGCGATTGGTTCAGGAAAGGGAGCGGCGAGAGAGAGATTTGCGACAGGAAAATCGCGAGGGTGATTGGAGGAGAGGGGTAATGGAGATGACGGTAGGAGGGCGACGGGACGTCGACGGGACGGACGACATGATCGCGACGCGACGGTCGATGGGACGGCGTCAGGATGGTCGATGGGACGGCGTCAGGACGGTCGATCGGAACGGGAGGGCGAGCGAGATGAGATAGGAAGGCGGCGAGAGGGCATTCGAAACGGCACAAAGTACTACACAACCATGCCAGCTTTACTACGCGTCTAAATTGAAACAACAACGGCATAAGTTGACGGTTCGATGGCTAGACATGCTACACATAACTAAGAAGTTGAGATGTATGATCGGAAGAACTAGTAGTTGTTCACCCAGACCCAACTTGAACCCCAAGCTGGGCCCAAAATCGCTAAGGGCGTGCATGAGCGATGGCAATGCTAGTGTTGTGCAGCTTCCAAAACTGATATGCGACGCCTGACGTGCTGTGTTCCTTATGTGTTCGATCTGCAAAAAACGCTCTCAATGAAACACTGGAAACTTGTCGGTTTGGTTCCAAAATTGTTTCGCACGGCAAGCCCTCTTTCAAGTTGGCGTTGGGTTCACTATTTTGCATTTCGGTTTTAAACCTTTGAAACCTGAACCTGAATTATTTTGCTAAATTCCATTTGTACCATTATTCAAAATTTTGGATCCCAGCACACCCATCCAACTTCCCCTCACTAGCCCACGCATTACCCAATCCAGGGTACTGCTGCAGGAAAGCCCTATAACGTTCTGAACCGCGCAATAAACATCAGAACCCCTTCACAGAACGGGTCCTGCAGCGAGAACCGCATCGGGAATGCGCTGTGAGGTGCCGCCCATCTCGAACTCGGTGAATTTGCCGAAGTTCTTTTGGAACAACTTGCCCAGCTTCTCCAACGTCTCGCGGTACTTGGCCTTGTCCGCCCACTGCACGCAGAGAGGCAAAGAACGATAGAAAGCAGCAGAGAGGAGCAGAGATGAATTGACACACGGTGGTAGAGAACTGGGGGTTGGGGGTCAAGTTCACCCAGCAAAGGGATGATGGACGGGAAAGGAGACAGACGGGAGCAGATCAAGAGAGGGTGTTTCATGAGCAGAAAGCGAGACGTACCAGGGTCTCTGGCTGCAGGCACTCGTTGGGGACATTGGCGCAGGTGGTCTTGGAGGATTGCCTCCGGTCACATTGGTTCATCTCGCCGCGTTGCCGCAGAAGCGCTTCTACCGTGCTCGAGCGCACAGCAACCCGCTCAGCGATAACCTCTTTCCAGTGTAACCACCACTCCCATCCTCCACCGTCGGATTCAGTATCTGGCACTTACCGCCGTTATATCGAGTCCATCGCACCGCAACCTAGTTGGCCCCCGAGGCTTGTCCAGAGGAGCGCATTGGGACAGAATGTATCGGGGATACGGTGTAGCGAGGAAGGAGCTTATCGGGGGTAGAATGTAGCGCAGGAAGTGCGATTGCTATGAGCATGAGGTGGTGGGAGTCCAAGAGGGGCTCGTTTCCTCCTAGACGGAGTCGGTACGACGGAACGGAATCTGTTTCGCGGCGGAGTTCCGTTCCGAGCCTGCACGCGCGCCGTGCAGCAGCCGTCGATCTGCACGCCGAATCAAAGCTCTCATTGTGCCTGCGGCATCAGGCTACAGCCTCGTTCTCCTCTCTATCCCCATAACGCCTTGCACGAGCTTGTTTCCGCCGTCTGCTGGCGAATCTCGACCTTGGGCGGCTCCCCGCCGACCGTTAATCTGGCCAACTCGGGCGAGCGCTTGAATGCCTGGCTTGATTGGACTTGCCCGCATGTCGGTGTTTAGGGTTAGGTAGGGCCATTCGAGGGTTGGATTGATCCGGACATTGTCCAGCGTCCGGCCAGTGCCTTGAATGATCTGCGTTACAGGAGGCTGCGTTAGGGTTTGAGGACTGGGCGCATCATCCGCGGTCAGGACCCGCTGAGGGCTTCACTCGCGCTATTGCCTGCCTGTCCAGTGGTAGTGCGTCGCGCGGAAGCCAATAGCTCGACAGGGGTTCGGGGTCGGGGTTTATCCCGCGGGGTTTTAGCGCTAAGCCTGTGTGCAAGCATGCGGACAGCACTCCACCCGCACTCCCCAGCCTCGTTCGTCCCAGCCGTGCCGTTCCTCACCTCCACTTGCGCCCTCCTTGCCTCCCCTGCTCCCCTTGCCCACTCCTTTTGCCGCATTTTCCCTTTTCCCCTTCCACCACCCCCCTCTCCCCCGTGCGCCCCACGTGCAGCCCCGTGTGCCCCGCGGAGGTGGACTGGTCCGCGCACTTCCCCGCGTTCTTCCCCCCCACTGCTGCCGCGGCACAACCTCCTGCTGCTGCTGATGGCAGTGCTGCTGCTGCTGCTGCTGCCGAGGGGGAGGGAGGTCCTTCAGCAGCACGAGATGGTGCGGATTGAGTCGTGGGGACTGACGGCATGGGCAGTGGGCGGTGGAGATGATGAAGCTAGGGAGTGGGCTGTGGTGAGGGCGGTGATGAGAGTGAGGGATTTGGGGACAAAGGGGCGAGGGAGAGTAGGGATGAGAGGGTACAGATTGTGGGATGTGGGTGCATGAGAGGGGTGCGGTGGGGTAAGAGCTGGAAGAAATGGCTTTTCATTGATACTCCTTCTCCCTCTGCTCGTGCGTTGCTTGCAGGAGCGGCACAGCAGCATGCCACGACCGCCGCCCCAATCAGCAACACAGGCCAACCAATGGTCCGCTTTGCTGACGTCGGGTGTGGCTTTGGCGGCCTGCTAGGTGCGTTGGTGGTTTGTGCTACTGGACGTGCATGCTGGTCTCACCACTGCATGCATCTTCGCCCGCTTCTCCTTTGCTCCTCTCTCCCGCCTTTCTCTGCCAAGTGGCAAGTGCACCTCTCCTCTCCATCTCACTGCACCTTCAGGTCGTCGCACATCATTTTCGCGCCACTCGCCCTTCGCTCCCTTACCATCTTCTCCACACTCGTTTGCTCTCTTCTCTACCCCCCCCCCCCTCCCTTCTTCTTCGCCCCCCTCCCCCGCTCCCTCTCCCCTCCCCCACTCCCGCTCCCCTCCCCCACCCCCTGTTTTGCCCGTTTGTTGCAGTGAAGCTGTCTCCCATGTTTCCAGATACACTCATGGTTGGCTTCGAGCTACGTGACAAAGTACGCTATCCAGCTGGCCGCCCGTTGTGTTGTTCACAATAGCCGCAGGCATAACGTTGACGTGTGATCTGTGTGTGTGGTGTGGAAGATGGGGGTGGGTGAGTTGCGTGTGCGTGCGTGCATGCGCGTGTGTGTATGTGCATTCCATTATCCTTGCTTGCTCCTCTCACGTGCCATCTCCTTCACACTCTACACGCTTTCCCCCGTTTTGTCATGTCACCCCCCCTAACCCCCATGTGAGTGAGTACGTGAGTACTTTTGAGGCGCCTCACAGCCCCACGTGCTGTTATCCCCCACTCCACCCCTTTCCCACAGGTGAGCGAGTATGTGAAGGACCGCATTCTTGCTCTCCGGCAGCAACACCCCTCCCAGGTACACCCCTCCCAGGTACACCCCTCCCAGGTACACCCCTCGCAGGTACACCCCTCCCAGGTACACCCCTCCCAGGTACCCGCCTCCCTTTCGCGAATTCTCAAGAGTCATTCTGCCTCTCTCTCCCCCCTCTCCCGCTCTCCTGGCCACTCGTCATTTCCTTTCTCGCCTGCTACCTCACCATTCCCTCTGTCCTCACCTTGCATTGCAACGCCTCACTTGCGTTTGTCCTGTGGATTCCATGCTCTTCTTGCGCAACCTGAATGGAAAACACTTCTGAGAATTCTCAAAAGTGATTCCATGCTCTTCTTGCTCAACCTTAATTCTTCTCGTTTACTTGTCTCTCCGATTGTTATTGTCGGATGCACTCTTACTTTAAGCTACCTATAAAATTACTCCCCTTCCTTTCTTGTTGCTTCCCCGCCATCTCTCCTCCACGTTCTGTGCCCTCATTCTGCTCTCCTCCACGTTCTGTGCCCTCATTCTGCTCTCCTCCACGTTCTGTGCCCTCATTCTGCTCTCCTCCACGTTCTGTGCCCTCATTCTGCTATCCTCCACGTTCTGTGCCCTCATTCTGCTCTCCTCCACGTTCTGTGCCCTCATTCTGCTCTCCTCCACGTTCTGTGCCCTCATTCTGCTCTCCTCCACGTTCTGTGCCCTCATTCTGCTCTCCTCCACGTTCTGTGCCCTCATTCTGCTCTCCTCCACGTTCTGTGCCCTCATTCTGCTCTCCTCCACGTTCTGTGCCCTCATTCTGCTCTCTCCTCTTTCGTCTTCCGCCACACCCACCACGGTACACCTAAATCTGTGACCCCTCTTCTCAACCCAACCCTCTCCCCAGCACACCAGCATCTCATTGCACCGCACAACACCATCTCATACCTCCACAACCACTCTCTATGAGGCGTATTAGACACCGCTCTCGCTCTCTGCTCTCCATGAGGCGTATTAGACACTGCTCTCGCTCTCCGCTTTTCATGAGGCGTATTAGAACTCTCCGCTCTCGCCATCCACCCCAAGACACCGACAACTTGTGATCCCTCTCCCATTCGCCCTCTCCTCCCCCCTTCCCCACCACCAGTACACCAACATCTCCTTGATCCGCACCAATGCCATGAAGTACCTTCCCAACTATTTTCACAAGGCACAGGTGGGAGGGAGGGAGGGGCACACGGCACAGGTGGGTGGGAGGGAGGGGCACACGGCACAGGTGGGTGGGAGGGAGGGGCATGCACGCACGAGGCACAGGCGGGCACTAACGCCATGAAATACTCCAACACGGCCCACGTGGGTGGGTGGGTGGGTGGGTGGGTGGGTACACGTGTTGCACTGCACTGAGGCGTGTGCACTCACTGACCACTCGTTGACAGGCAGATGACAATATCTCCCACCTCGCCGTCTTGTCTCCTTTTGCCTTACCATCCCCGCCCTCCTCACCCGTCTTCTTCCTCGCCCCTCCTCCTCTCCCTCCCCCACTCCATCCCCACATCCTTTCATTCCTCATCGTTACAGGGATTTTTTTAGAATTCTAAATAAAGCACCCTCTTCCCTGCTTCTATCGTGCAGCTGACCAAGATGTTCTTCCTCTTCCCCGACCCGCACTTCATTGTCTTGTGTGTCCTTTCATCTCAACCTTCCCCCCCCCCCTTTTCAGCTGACCAAGATGTTCTTCCTCTTCCCCGACCCGCACTTCAAGGAGAAGAACCACCGCCGCAGAATCATCACGTGAGGCTCTGCAAGTAGACACAAAACAGCACAACCCATGACACGGCTGTGTCCATCTGCTGCTTTCTGACTGCTGCATTCATCTCCCCCAGGGGCTTTCACGACAGCCATGGCGGCATTCATTGGCTGTATGTGGCCGCCCCATCTCCTCCCTTTCTCCCGCCATGCACATCCGCTGCTTGCCTGTGCTGCGCGCACTCATGCATGCTTGCACGTGCCATGCACAACCGCCATGTGCCTGTGCTGTGTGCTGTGCAGGCACGTAGGGCCACCGCTGATGATGCATGCCGCCATCCGCCTGGTTGACCCCTTGTAGCAGCATGTTTGTACGGCTGTGTGCATGGCTGCGTTACGCCATGATTGTGCACCTATACATGCCATGCCATGCCATGCCATGCCATGCCCCACTTGATGCGCCCTCCCTTGCATCATCACTTTCTGTCTGCATGTCTCATTGCAGGACTGCTCTGTTGGCGGAGTATGCCTATGTGCTGGCTCCAGGAGGTGAGTGACTATGGCAGGAGGTGAGTGACTATAGCAGGAGGTGAGTGACTATGGCAGGAGGTGAGTGACTATGGCAGGAGGTGCGTGACTATGGCAGGAGGTGAGTGACTATGGCAGGAGGTGCTTCTATTCTAGCGGTATTAGGGCCTGGAATCCTGCCTGTAAGTCAGCTTGTGAGTCTTCTCAAATCAGAAGCCATTGTTAAAGGGGCCCTACACGCATCACTTGCATCCATCCACGCTTTCCTCTGCTCTACCTGTGCTGATCCCCCCTCTCCCTCTATCTGTCCCCAACCATCAACCGTTTTTTTTTAGAATAAGAAAGAAACCATCAACCCGACACATGGAACTCATCCTCTTTTGAGTCGACTAAAAAAAACCGTCGATCCGACACGTGCAACTCATCTTTCGCCATGCGGGCCGCTTCGGGTGCCGGTAGCTTCAATCCCCT